AATCCTAAATGACCAGCAATTGGATCATCATGACATGAGGCAATGATTTCTTCAATCAATTTTTTTGGGACACACAGCGCAAGCGCAGGTCCGATTTCTCTTTCAATCAGTTTATACAAGATCATGTCTTTCAAAACGAATTGTGTACACTCAATATTTGGAAAATCCTCAGGCGATTCTAAAGCGCAAATAATTTTATTAAAAGTTGGGTCTGAACGTTGTTTTCGAGCAATACTTTGATCAATAGTTAGTAAATTTATACTATATTTATCAAGTGGTTCCATGAATTGACCCATTGGTCTGACAGGATTTCTTGATAAATAGTCAGCAACTACATTAGATTTACCGGTCCGATAAACAATGTCAAATGAATATTGTTCGAGTTGGATTGCCCATTTTAAAAGTCTGTCTGGTAATTTAGCTTTTGTTTTCAACCAACATAAGGCTCGATGATCAGTATAAACAGTAAAATGAAGGCCTGAAATGAAAGGTCTGAGCTTCTCCAATGCAAAAACGATGGCTAAACATTCTTTTTCGGTTGTAGAATAACGTAGTTCAGCATGATGTAAAAGTCTACTTAAATACCAAACTGGTTTCTCTTCTTTTTCAATTCGATGCATTAAAACTGCGCCGACTCCAATCCCTGAGGCATCACAATGAACCTCAATTGGGTCTGACGGGTTGAAATGAACTAACACGGGATCTTGTAAAAGAAGTTCTTTTATCTTATTAAAAGCTCTATCTTGTTCGTCAGTCCAATTGAAAGAAACTATTTTTCTGGTCAACCGAGTTAAAGGTTCAGCAATTTCAGAGAATTTAGGAATAAACTTCCGATAATAGCCGGCCATGCCCATGAAACTTCTAATCCCTGTAATGTCTTTTGGAGCTGGAAAATTCTTAACATCTTCAATCTTTCTAGGGTCAGTCCTTATGCCTTGAGCATTGACAACATGACCTAAGAAAAGCATTTCTCTAACAGCCCAATGACATTTGGATACTTTTATTGTCAGACCTGCGTTTTGTAATGCTTGTAAAACATTCTCAGTTCGAGTCAATAATTCATCGAAGGACTGAGCGAAAATAACAACATCATCCAAATAAACAAGACATTGATTGTACTTCAGTCCAGCTAATACAACGTCCATTGTCCGTTGGAAAGTGGCTGGTGCATTAGTCAGACCAAAGGGCATACGAACAAACTCATATAACCCGTCTTGAGTTACAAAAGCAGTCTTTTTACAGTCGTCTGGATTGACAGAAATTTGCCAATAACCAGAGTTAAGGTCAATGGCAGTAAAATAAGAGCAACCTCTCAAAGAAGATAGAATGATGTCTATGTTGGGCAAAGGATAAACATCCTTTTTAGTAATGGCATTGACCTTTCTAAGGTCAACACACAATCTCTTTGAACCGTCAGGCTTATTGACCAATACAATGGGACTGGCCCAAGGAGAAGCAGATGGTCTGATAACTCCTATTTTCATCATTTCTTCAATTTGCTTATTTATCTCTTTACGTTCTATTTCTGACCTTGGATAAGGATGAGAGCGAATAGCAGCGTGCCCTTCAGTGTCAATTGAGTGGTAAAATAAGGTACAATGACCTAAGTTGTCTTTATTAAAGGCTAAAGTAGGAAGAAACTTTTTTAGCATATTTTTAATCTTAATGGCTTGTTCATTCTCTAGATGAGATAATTCTAATGTTTCAATAGAGGCTTCGACTCCCAAATCAGGGACTTTAGTTTCTTTTTCATCGTTTGAAGGAATAAAATTTATGTCAGACCCAAGGGGACTTATCAACTCATTTTCGTTTATGTCAGACCAATGTGTATCGTAAATTTCACTTTCGCGCATCTCTCGTTCACGCATGTCTCTTTCGAGACTGTCAGACCCAATACAGTAATCAATTGTTGGACTCATCATATTACAATAATAAAAAGGTTGATTACATTGTCGATTGATTAATTTTGGGGGGTTGGATTGTTCATTTAGAGATACAATGTTTACAGTTTTATGCGAATCAAAAGTCAAAGTAAGGCATCGTTGATTTTCATCACCGTCGATAATAGAAAAATCAAGAGGAACTAATCCTTCTCCATTATCATAATGAAAACCAAACTGATTTACTTGAGTAAATTCGGATTGATCAATTGAGAAAGAATCAGACTTATCTGTTTCCATTTGGTTGGTCTGAGGTCTGATGGTCATATTTTGCCAGTCCAATTGAATATCAGCCATCCGATTGTAATTGTTCCCTAATAATAAAGGGTACGAAAAGTTGTCGCTTGCCACGATAAGATTAGTCCATATGGATTGGGCAACTCCAGTTACTTTAATTAAGCATCGGGTTTTTCCCAGTATCTCCAGAAAATGGCCAGTTGCTGATTTTATCATTGGTCCTTCGTATCGCTGAATGGTCTGAGGGTTCTTTAAAACGGAGATGCGGATGATGGAAAAGGCAGATCCAGTATCAATGAAACATTCCACCTTCTGGTCATTTACCCAAGCTGTAGTGATAATATAATTCTTATCTGGCGATAAGCAATGAACTTGAGGATTGGTAGCTTGGTCTGACAGGATTTGGGGCTGGTGTTGAGGTTGAGTGGGTTGTGGATTAAATGTATGTTTTGGTTGGGTATTGGAGGGTAAATTTGTCTCAGGGTTTAATCTTGAGTTAGGCATTTGATTAAGATAAGTTCTAGAGTAAACTGGGTTTGGTCTGTTTGGAGCTGAATGATATGGATTGTCAGACCTAGGGTAAGTCTGATTTGAGTGATTGTCAGACCTATGATAAGGCTGAACGGCATAGCTGTCAGACCTATGAGGAGGCTGATTGGGATAGTTGTCAGACCTATGAAAAGGCTGGATAGCATAGTTGTCAGACCTATGAGGAGGCTGAGTGGGATAGTTGTCAGACCTATGGGAAGGTTGATTGGGATAGTTGTCAGACCTATGATAAGGTGGACCGTAAGTATTATCAGACCTATGGTACCTTTGACCATAAGTATTGTCAGACCTATGATAGGATTGACCATTATAATTCGGCCGAGGGTAATTTCGCGGCGGATTATAATTTTGTCGATTTGGTTGATTCATTCGTTCATCATATTGCTTTTTACGGCAATTAATCTGGACATGTCCAGTTTTATTACAATAATAACAGACTGGGCGGTTATCAAGTGTTCTAGTGTTTTGTAACATTGCGGTCTGATAAACTCGAGGTTCACGGTATCTAGTTCTATTTCTATGTCCATCATATAATTCATTCACCATTTCTTTTAATTTCGAAAGTTCATCATCACTAGAACTGGACTGATTTCCCTTTTCTAAATTTTTTTGCAGTTTCCCGAAATTCGGCAACAGTTGTAGGCTTAGCAGCATAGAGAGCTGATTTCAAACTTGGTTTTACCCCTCTAAAGAGATACCGAATAATTTCAGACTCTTCCATATTGGGATTCAGTCTTAAACAGAGATCTTTTATATCGATAATAAATTTGGTAACTGGTTCACTATTTTTCTGTTTTCGATCATTTAATTGTTCAATGATAAAATCTTCATATTTTGATGGTAAAAAGGTATCTTTTAACTGTTCTACAAAATCAGGCCAGGTTATTTTATTTTCTTGAACTTTTGGTTCAACCTCTTGCTTATACCAAGCTTTGGCTGAATCCTCTAAATAATTAACGACTCGTTTAACTTTTTCTTCACCAGTCCATTCATAGGAACTTGAAAATGTATTAAAATCATCAAGAAATTTAATAACCTGGGCTGAAATTTGTCCATCAAAAGGAGTTAATTTCGGAGGTCTGAGAACTGGAAATGCAGATCGCATGGCTTTCAATTCTTCGGGAGTCAAAACACAAAGTCTTTCAAGGGGACTTTCAGAAAGTTGATCAGGAATATCGGAGGAAGTTGCCGAATCTGGCATTTACTTATAATGAGCAGTTACAATTAATCAAATGATAAAATTAAGTAAAACATGCGTGGAAGGGTACAAAAAGTGGTTGTCAGACCTAGCTTACCTTTCCGATTTAGCAAAAATGAATCAGTGAAATGGTTGATGGAATGATGAATGTGGTTGAATGGGTTGATGATCGGTGATAAATTGTCCAAAAATCGTCAAAGGTTTACGGATTCAGTAAAGGTGAAAATGTCAATAATAAAAGATGGTGTAAAACGAAATGAAGATGAGTAAAGTTGGAATAGGATGAAAAATGGTTGATTGTCAATTTTAATAGATGTGATGGTTAACACAATTAGATGCACAATTGTCTATGCTGGTGAATAATGAATTCAGTTCAAGATGATTGATTATGTTGGTTATAGTTGATAACAGATACAAAAATGGGTCAAAGTCAGAGTTTAAATCAAAGAGTTCACTGATTTTGAAAAGAGTTCAAGTTGGTTCCGAAATTGACTCGAGTTCTGATGAGTTGAGGCCTTAAAGACCTCTCGGTGGAACCTCCATAATTGTAAGGTGGGAAATTGGTGAGGATAAATGATGAAATGGTAAAGAGAAAGAGAGGTAATGGAGCATAATGACATTACTGTCAGACCTTATGGAAAAATTAAATAAGAAAGTAACTTGGTTTCACAACTCAATTTTTTATTGTTTCACTTCGATTAACTTTTTCGTAAGATACAAAATGTTTACTTTTTACTGATGATGAGTCCAAATCGTACTATTATTCGAGACTGACTTCTTTTCTCCCTTCTTTTCTTTTTATATCCATTGGCCTGACCTCTTTTTGGCCTGACCTGGTCTACGTGACCTTTCATCTCTCTATTTTTGTTCTCACATAAATTGTATTTACTTCATACATTAGTCTGACATGTTTATGAGATTCTTTTTCTTATTTTTACTTGAAATTTGCATCTTATTTTTATTCTTGATAAACGTTTAATCCCGATTTCTGGGAACTATTTTATGATCAAACTTTATTTTATATTTAAATTTAGAGGTACCAATTCTTGGAAATAGTAAAATTTCTCAATTCTTACAATATCTCCATATCCATTCCTGTACAAACATTCAATTCCTTGGTTTCCACTTGCATCATTGAATCCATTGATATTGTACCCAAAAGGACCTCCACCATTTTCTGGTTACTCAGTTAACAGTGATCCATCTAATTGGGATGAATTTAGAGAAGCCTATCAACGAGCTCATTCAAGATTAACTGAAACCACTAATGAAAATTTGACTGCTGCTGGTCTTGATCCTGCTAAATTTGATTCAGCGAGATTTGTAAGTAGTCTTCAGACAATCGGATTTTACCATTACCCAGCTGACTTGGATTACATTGAATGTGAACCAAAAGATCCTAATTGGCATCGTGTTGATGCCTGGGTTCGTCAACCAGATTTTGATACTGAATTTGTTATCCCAGAAAAGTTACAAGATAAACCAGGAAAAGTAATTTACTTTTCATTGGGATCATTAGGATCCGCTGATTTGGTTATAATGAAGAAGTTAATTGCTATTCTAGCCAAATCACCACACAAATTTATCATATCAAAAGGACCACGAGGTGATGCACTAGAATTGGCCGACAACATGTGGGGTGAAAATTATGTTAACCAGATTGCGGTTGTTCGAGGTGTCGATCTGGTCATAACTCATGGAGGAAACAATACTTTTACGGAGACACTTTATTACGGAAAGCCAATGATTGTCATTCCCTATTTTTATGATCAATTTGATAATGCACAGCGAGTGGTCGACAAAAAAGTTGGCTTTCGCATCAATCCGTACGAACTTGACGAAGATTATCTTCTTAGCTGCATTGAGAAGATATTTGAAGACAAAGAAATGCAAGATCGAGTCAAAGCCATTTCACATAACATGAGAAATTCAAACAGCTTTTCTCAAGCTATCAAAATGATTGAAAGACGAATTGAACAAAGTAAAAGTAAATCGTAAAATGCAGTCCATGGTAATCCCTTAAGAACCAACACTTTGAGTTTACTTCCATGGTTGTTACTGAAGTAGAATTGATTGCAGTAGATTGATGATTCTTGCTAATTAAATAAAAAATCTCTTATTCAGTAATAAAATCAAATAAATTTAGCAATTGCAATCTATTGAATTTTTCGGAGCGACGAGTAGTATCATAGTCGCAATTTTAGAGCAATCACTATTAGACGTAACGCCGATAATCAATTTTTTAGCTCTATTCGAATGATAAACTTGAATCGATAAATGTATCTCTTCAAAAAAGCTTTATTCGAAAAAGTCAATTTGAAAAAATGAAACGACGGGTTCTCGTTTACCTTTACCTACATTCTTATTAAGTTGATACACTGTAGTTGCAAGATCGCGGGATTTAGAATAAAAAACAAATCATTTCATAAAAGATTGACTTCCATCTTGTTAAACTTACGAATATCACAATTGTAACAAATATTGCTTGTGAACTATTCTCATTCTCTTGCAGTCTCGCCCTATACCCGCCTTACCATTACCTCGCAGTTCTAACATGTTTAGTGATTAAAACTCAATCAAATATTGCTTGTACTTTAATGGATTTACAGATTTACATACATTAGGCCATCAATGCTTCGTAAAGTGTAGGGAATTTGAATATTATCAACCATTTTTGGTAATGAACCCAACCACAAGTTTAGAGACTTTAGTTTCAAAGATAAGCTTAGGGCAATCTCACATCAGGCTGATGATGTTGACCAACGGGATTCAAATTTTCAGTAAAAGGTTACTAAATATCAATTTATTGTGAAATGGACGTAGAAGCAATTTACTAATATATCGCCAAACAGCGTATCACAAAAATAACGAGTTGGATGTGTATCAAATTGAAAAACTAAATGTATAATCTTCTGTCGTCCGACAATCAGCTCGTGCACAGTCAGCTAATTAATCAAAAAGTGTTCAACTATTTCGCACCAGTTTACACCCTTTGTGTTAACGATTCTTAGACTAATGAACGCAAAACAATCTACTTCGAAGACAATGAAGATCATGATGTTGAAGATTCGCATATGATCTTTGTTTATACTCCCGTTCCTTATATTTTTCATTATAAACACGATTAATGATTTAAATCATAAACATTAGAGCAATCAGTTGATGCCTGACTGAGCATAGACAGTAAAGAGATTTCTGCTTTTCATTTTGTTACCTAAACTTCATACTTAGAAAGCCTAATTAGTATTTTTACAGCACCAAAAACTCTTTACGTCAGCTACGAATAAGAAATACCCAGGGACAGTCGTTAACCCATCACTTTAACAACAATAAATAATAATTTAGCAAGTAAATTTTCGTTATTATAATCAGACTCACTCTGAATGTTAAAACATATCTAAAGATCTACAATACAAGTAAGTATATATGGATTAAAAAAGGCTCAATTTCTGATTTTTGACGCTTAGATTTTCGAATCATATCATGAGTAATCAATTGAAAGATTCAGTTGACATTAGTAAAAAGGTTACAATTAAATTGAAAGCATAATAATTTAATGACGATAGTTTCTTATAAAAATAACAAAAACAATACAAAACCAAATACAAAAGACTTTTGGATTATATTGAAATGTATCATGGCATGAAAATGTACTCATTATGAGTGCCTTTCTTGGGAAATTAATCAAATCAATCAACTGATATTCACATTGGAATCAGTTAGATTAGCTGCATTGCGGATTAACTGTGTAAATTTCCTAGAAAAGCTAGAAATGAGGCAAATTGATCATTCAGTGGTAACCAAATTTGTCATGGCATTGATCATCCCACTGCTTCATATTATTGACATCCTTGTGCTTGCTGTACTATCTTTATCGAAAAATACAGAATCTTTTCCTCTTCGTTCTTTATCTTCACTTCGTGATCCTTTATCAATATGTTTACCAGCCCATGAATCTGTTTCTGCATGTGAATTTTTCTTTCCTCCGCCATAAGCTTCTTTTCCTTCATTAGACTTTAATTCAGAATTGTATTCTTGATTGAATAATCCTTTCGAATGGTTCTGATCGTTATGACCAGCATTTTCCCAACCATGGCCTGAACCACGCTCCTTCTCCCAGGACCACTTCTTTTCGTACATTCGTCCCTTGTTTTTATTATACTCTTCAACCAGCTTTTCATTTTCATGTTCACCAGATTCCGATCCTTTTTTCCACTTCTCCTTGAAATCTCGGTTATCATGACCTAATGATTTCCTGGTAAATGATGATAAAAAAGTAAGATATTTGTGAGTTTGAAAATTGAGTATCTTGGGTTTGAGTTATCAAGTTTCATATAAACTATGAAAGCTTTGGTTAACTCTTGATATCATCTTGCCAATCAATAATCCATCAAATTATCATGTATTACTTTGCATCCATGGATTGGCAATCAAACCAACAGGAAGTGTGGACTTGAAAATTTCATTTCAATTTGTCATTGTAAAGCTGATCAACTTGACGGGTTAAATTAAGAATACTTGATTGATGGTTGAAAAACTGAAAGGTAAACTCATTGTTTGAATTAATAAACCTAATAAAAAAACATTCAATGCAAGCTCAACATTATTCAAAATAGGTTGCGTCAATGAATCACGTTGAAAAACATTCTGAATGGCTGTCAATGTTGTTGTTCATTGGAAATACTATCAATACGATAAACTATGAACATGTAAACATGAGTGAATAAAAACACTGAGACATTGAAATCTAGATGAGAAGGAAACTTTCATGAGAAAGGGATTCAATTAATGATTGAGAGTTACAAAGTAAAACCTCAAAGCTTTCAACAAGCTGATATCGGGTAATAAAAGAGCAATAATGAACTATAATTGTTATATTGCTGATCACTGATTAGATACTCACTTGTGTGAACCATTCTGGTAAGAACTTTGACCTTTGTTACTTCGTTCTTTATCTGATTCCTCTTCTCCTCCATGTTTAAACCATTTAGAGTCATCATCTTGCTTCCATCCAAACGATTGTTGTTTACCTTTTGCAGATTTTCCTGAAGCTTGTTCAGAAGATGATTTCAGGGATTCAGTGAAAACAGGGCGACTCATTAGATAAGGGAAAACATTGGAACCTTCCGATTGATGTGGTGTTACTCCATCGACAACAGGTGAGGGATGACCAAGAGGAAAAGGTTGTATTTCACTTTGTGCCAAATCAGCTGATAGCGAGGATGATCCTTGTAACTGTGTTATACCGTTGGTTTCATTTAATCCGTTTGTTAAATTGAGAAGTACACTGAGAAAATGAATAATCGGGAAAACGGTCATTCCTAGAATTAAATTGTCTTCGGTAAATTGCAAGAGTCTAAAGACGAATAAGTTGCAAGACAAAAACACTCAACACACCAACATGTAAACAGTTATTGCTTATGGTTTAACACTTTGAGTCAACTTTACTTTACCCTATTACTGTTCATGTAGCAGTTAAAGTGGGCTGGTTGAAACTCATTGATCCATCCAAATTGGTGCTAAACCACATTTTGGTGACACTTATTAAACATTAGTTGAACAGAAAAAACAATTTCAACAATTTCTCTGATTACTGCTTTCTTTGATCCACAACAATTAACCTCATTAAGCCAAAAAGCCAGCCAAGAACTTGAGAATCAAAGTAAAATTGAAAGCAACCAGAAAGGTTATCATTTTTGTTGATAATTAATATTCAAAATTGTCTCATAAGTGTCACTTACAAAAGATTCATAATAATGGGTTAATCATTACCATTGAAATTACTCTGACCGGATCGGACAATCAGTCAAGTTGATCATGGTGACATACAAATGAGACAAATGCTCAATAACCAACCGGTATACTATTCAATTAAAAGTGCCACAATTCAGGCCAATATTAAGACCTAAACTATTGGAACCCTAAATTAATCAGCTCTGATGGAAATGTTGATAATCTTCTAATTGGGATGACTTTTTTTCACGGACTCAATAAAGGCTGTTATAGTCAAATTACGGGTTGACTTATCCACTTTATGATATGGGTCGGAATGTAATACATTTTTCCTCGTCATTTCCGTGAGCAATTAACTTAATTGTTAGCTGTAAGTGTTAACAGAATCAGTTAAACTGTTTGATTTGACTATTTGTTGACTGGTTAAAATTAAATAAAGCAACAAATTGGACTAAAGGCCAATAACTTGTTGACACTGTGCACAATCAATCTTTCAACAATTACCAACAGTCTACCAAATGTAATATTTAGTAAGTAATACATTCGATGATCACTATTAATCAAAATACAAATTGTGCTATCGTTAGATATTTATTCATTGTGTACCTTAATTGAAGGTGAATCTACAATCATGTTGAAGGATAAAATGGTTGATAACAATTTTTACAGACTTTATTTTGGAGCAACTTAATGTTTCAGATATTCACTCATTACTCGTTACTATTAGACATACTGATTAGGATTGGTTAACTTGATAAATACTCCAATATTGATTGTGTTTACAGGCTTAAGCTATAAATTATTTCCAATAAATGATAGTGAAAATCATAATAAATCACCAGGGAAAATTACCTTGAAAATCTTGACTCATTTAGTGTTAATTTCTCGATCAAATGAAATCCTCTCATTATCGATATTGGTTAGGAAAATTGTGATTAAACTACAAGATTGTTACACCTAAAATTACTGAGAAGTACCGATTGCTATTGATTGATGTCAACTTGACACAAAACACCCAGAAGTAGCAAAAGGCAAAATATACTTCAATTTTTGCCTCTATTTGTCTATCATTGGGTTAATCTGGTTGCAGCAATAGGAGTTTCATTGCACAAAACTGGTGATCAAGAAATGAATCGACATTCATGAACCAAGTATCAACTCTTAACCGAAGGTCAGAGCTTTTGCGTTTCTTTATCAATTAATCAGAGTCTGGTTAAATTGAGATGGATCTAGAAGAAACTATATTGCTGTATTTACTTTGTATTGGGATAAACAAAAGGAAAGGTTGACGCAAAAGTTTAAAAATTAACAAAGGAGTGGCAAAAACAGAAAGAGATGTGAGATAATAATAAACTATTCTGTTTTGATGTAAATCATTATTGTGATAACATTGAAAGGGAAACTTCTAATAGATGGTTGATTAGTTTTGTATTAATCATTTCACCTTTTTACACATCAATTTTATCAACATTTAATCATTTCAATAAATCTCTCCTTCAATCTTACAATCTTACATTGGTTTTGATTTGTGCATAAAACGTCATACAATCTCACTTTCACAATAAAACCACCTTTTGATTTTTTTGTTTTCATTCATTTCCATTCGTTCCTCTGTTTGCAACATTTGTCTCTGGATTTTTTGCGACATTAACTTAAACCATGTCAGAATTTTATTATAATCGTAAGTTTATCAACAAATTAGTACTCCTTGTATCCTCTTATCACAATTCTTAATTCATGTGTTTGTTTTATAAAATTATACAGGACACCAAGGACCTAAAGCTCATTGGATTGATGCTGAAGGAGGTTTCGTGCCATATGGAGAAGCTGTAGTTGGTGGAATGGACATCAGTGGGGAAACCCTTTACGTTGGTCGAGCTCTTCAGGATGGTGAATGTATTCCTGGTAAAATTGTTCCTTCACATGGTGTATGTTATGTTGCCTATGCTGGTCGAGAACACCCTCATCGAGTCTACCAAGTTCTTCGTGGTCACGGTCTTGAATTTTGCTGGGTACCATCTTCCGAAGGTATGACTCCAACTGGTGCTATTGAAGGAGGTAAAACTAGTGACGGAGAAAGTCTCTTCATTGGCCGCACCTTCCATCAAGGATCTCATGTTATCGGTAAAATTCATCCTAGTCATGGTCGATTGTACATTCCATTTGGAGGTGATGAGCATTCCTTCTCTGACTATGAAGTTCTCTGTATGAAGACAGTTTCTTTGTAAGCCTACCAAAACAGCCAGCTAGTGATCAAAGTTTCTGGAAAGCTGCTAAATAGCGATTGTGCCACTTTTGCGTATTTCTTCTCAATAAGAGCTCAAATGAAACATGAAGCAAAATTGAATTACTTTTTGTAAATCTTTATATCCACTAAGTTGATGAATAAAGATTAATTTATAATTTACAGAAATTTCAACTCTATTTCGTGAAGGTTTTTTGTCATCAAAAAGTCTATCTGATAGGATAGGATGGACCATGATAAATGACAGTTTGAATAAATTGAAACTGATTTTATAATCTTTTGCTCAGCTCAAGTGGTTACTGAATTGTAATACTGAGCGTAACTAAAGCATAGTCTGTATACAAGCGTGTCTAGTTTTTTGTTGATACCAGTTGAAGTGAAACTTAATTGTTAAGATTCTCTAATTAATTATCAAAATACAATTGATTTAATTGAGTGTCATTACTAATAAAAGCCGCTTATGTTTTCGTTTTAACCTTGTGCTGGATTTGGTTTTCATTTCTTCATTTCTTCATGTTTTTAATTGATTATTATTACTTTATTTTTGGCAGGGAAAAATCGATGAAAAGGACAAAAGTGAAATCATTTGAATTATGAGTATTATCATGCTTTAAGCATTCAATGAATATTTGAATCATTTTATGAAGAAGTATATTTTTGAAAATCAAAAACCAAATTTATTTTTGATAACTCTAGTAGTTCAACAAACTATTTGTATCTATTAACAGAAAGTTATTATTTTATGCAACCGGCCACTTCCATTGATTTTCTGGTGCTCCTTTGACTAAAGGTTCCCAAACCTTGTATTTTGCCATCGCTCTAGCACACTTCAACTCGTCCTCTGCATGCCAAATTAGTTCTTCGACTTGATATTTGTATTTTCGTTCCATTCTAGTTACATCAGCATCCTCTTCCAAATATGCTAATCGTTCAGTTAACAATTTTTCAGTATGCCTTCTATAGTTGGATTCCTTTGGCATTGATTGTAAAACATTCAAAGTTCTTCTGTAAATCATCGACAAAGCCTAAAAGCAAACAAATTAAAATTTTGGATTAAATACAAAACATTTTTAACGAAGTAAAATCATGAATGATACTCTACTAAAAAATTAGGCTACATTACTGTTAGGCAAAACAATGAGACTTACCTCACGAGGCTTATCGGCCAAAGCTAATCCAGCTAACTTTGTTGTTGTCTGTTGAAGGAAATAAAAATACTCAATATCAACGTGCATTAAACTTAATTAATTGACTTACCTTTAAAACTCCAGACATTTTAATTGATTTGAATTAAATAAACAATGTCCTTCAGAATAACAAAATCTTGGTGAAAACCTGTATCCAAAACAAATATCAGATACAAGATCCAAATATCAATATCAATACCTGTTTTTCGGTAAAAATCATCGTTTAAATTTAAAATTTGTACAATTTGTAATTAATTTATGATTAAATTCAATAATTACCGATAAAAGTAGAATTTATTGAAGAAATAATTCGCTTTGTTGTAAAATAAATAAGTTGAAAATTAATTGCTTAAGCTCTTTTGTTACAAGTAAGTTTTAAGAGATTTATCTACAGGTACGGTGAATGATCGAGTTTTGTTTATTGTACAAACTATCAAAATCTTGAAGATAAAAATTCCAGTAAAATTGATCAATCTCATCATTTGTAAATCGTCACTTTCAGATTCTGAAATCTCAACTAGGTTGAGAAAGGTTACTAATGGTTATAAACAATTAAATATCTCTTTCCGACAAAGTTAAATGATTTTTCACTTCACGCGTTCACAATCGTAAGATATCAACTTCATTTATGTCGAAAAATTTTTGCTGGGACTATGAAATGGTCCAAAGATAACCTTTACACGATAATTTTAAATTAACCCCAACATTTGAATCAATTGATGGAAGAGTATTAGAAGTAGAACCACCTTAAAATTTTATAACTTAATAGATCGTTAAATTGATCTAATATTTAAAAAATATTTACAATGTATGTTATTTATAATCCATGTCAATGTATTATCGTATCAGTTGATAATCCATCTGTTAATTTTCCAAATTCATTGAAACTTTCCAGCTTTTCTGAATTACACGACTGATTATCTTCATGAAGATTACGACTTTAACAGGCTCATCGATACGATAATACAATATTGTGTATGATTAAGTTAAAGAATAGATTTTACATTTCAGCCTTTCCCATAATTTACTACCAAGATTATTCCACTACAACGTTTTCATCCGCATTCTCCTCTTTCTTTGAATTTGCTACTGATTTGCCTTCTCCATAACAATGTTTTGCTCTTGGATCTCGATAAGAATTTTCGTGTTGAACAGATTGTGACGAGGTCCTGCATTTGGTAAGGCAAAATTCAAAGTGATCAGTAATGGAAGCAAAAAGAACTCCAACACTTGGACTACCACCATTCGCAATTATCTGTTGTAGAAGAGGTTTCTTATCTGGTTCCATACAGCAAGAAATGCAGTATTCAAAAATTGCACAGCAACCACTGGAATTACAAGTTTCACAAGAATAACGTTTAGTTGTTGGATTTGATGTTGGACAGCATCCACCAGACGTTAAATCATGCCGAGCACAAATATATCCTTTATCATCGGCAATCAAAACTTTACCTTGCACTGAATTACGACACGTTTCAGTTTTCTTAACATTAAGATTGGTCGATTCAGTCATTTGAGATTCGTCTGAAAAAAATCAATGATTTAAAATCATATTTAAATACAATGTGACTTAAAGTCAAAATACTCACCCCTGTGAATATCAATTTCATTAATAAAATTAATATTAGGAGCCGATTGCGTCCCCGATCCGTCATTTATTTCAACTTTGTACATATTTCTCCGAAAAGATATTAAGCGTGACTTGACTCTGTCAATATCCACCAACGCATCGTCCGAGTCTTCATCGAAGTGCATTCGATTAACAGGTTTCCGCAAAAGCATAACCATAGAATAAGTAAATGATGATAAAAGTATAAAAAAGAGGACACTTTTTCTTCTTAATAGCCTCAACATTGGTTTGATCATGCCAGGGATGCCAAATAATAAAATAATTGATCAATTCATCCAATTCAATTGATCAAGTTGACCAAATAGATTTGAACAAGTCCATAAATTTACACATTTCTTCATAGATTTGGTTTTAACTGTATTTCAAGATGTTGATAATGATGAGATTTATGATGATGAATCCAATAGCTTTCATGAAATTGATAAGTAGCAGGAAGCCTAGCGAAAAAGACAAGTTAACTGTATAATTTTGATAAGAAAATAATGAGATTCTTAACTTGATCACTTAAATAATTAATCATAAGGATCAATAATAAAAACAATACAAACCAGTAAGCAGCAAAATGGAAGCCGTATGTTGTTGATTTAAGATTTAGGAGTCAAAAATATTGATAAATAATAACTTGATGCGTTGAGGAGCTCTCTAAAAGACATGATAAAACTTTGGAAACAAAGATAATTTCAAACAAATACAGTCAATTTAAAATTTTATTCACCAATCAATTAGGAATAAATCCTATTAATCAGCTGAGCTTACATGCCTTTGCTTGTTTTTTGGTCGCCTTTTATTTAACCGCGCTTTTCAAACATTCTAACAAATTGTAAGTTAAATTGTGAACTTTATTGTAATAATTATTGTTTATTTGTCATGATTTTTATATTTTTCAATTAAAGTGAATTACGTTCGATAACATACTTCAAAAATTTGGGAATAACCTTCAATTTTGCATTATTTTGCTAATTTTGAAAGTCAGAAAATCATCACTTTCCGATTTTTCAAAGCTAAACCGTTTCAAAAACTATAATTAAATAAATCAATGGTATTATGAATCTGTAAATGATTTAATTCCTTATATTTCTGCAGTTTGAATTATTAAATTTAACCATTAATCATAATAAAATGTTTAAAACCTTCCCTGATTATAACCACCATTTAAATGTGCCGCTCTGAATTCATTCTTCATTTTGAGTTTCTTTGTCTATGTTTTGTCCGTTGTTGAATTAAACTTGCTCTATCAACTTATCATGATTATTCAATGTGTCTAATCTTATGAGTATTTTCTTTGTAATTTTATTCACCCGAAGTGTTGAATTGTCAATTTTTAAATGTTTTTAAAATCAACAAACCTTATAATTTTATTAAGTATCATCTTCGTCACTGCAATGGCTGATGAAGTAAATGACGATGCTCATCAAAAAAATTCAGGGGCCAACACATCTGTTGCTGATAACAAAATAAATCGTTTGTTTGGTTTAACAGTACCATTTGACGTTCTTTCTGTATTACTCGGTTTCATTGTGATTTCTGGTGGCTTAGTTGGATATTTGAAAGCCGGATCAATACCATCCCTTGTCGCTGGACTTGTGTTCGGAATACTCATCTTTATCGGTTCCTACTTTTCTTCTCGTGATGCAACTAATGTTTACCCACTTCTCGGTAAGAATTCAAAAAATGGGTAAATTTATGAAACTTACTCTTGTTTGTGATGAAAATTTTATTAAGTTCTTGCTAATAATTGTTTGATCACTTACAAGATTACAGTTTGTAAATTCTTTCTATTTTCTCACAAAAAATCAACCAAACTATAATTTTGATCACTAATAATAATGACTAAAATTTTTCATTCTTTATTTGCAGTTACTTGTGTAATTCTATTTGGATTGATGGCCTGGAGATTCTTGAAAAGCTACAAATTCATGCCTGCTGGTTTAGTTGCTTCATTATCTGGAATCATGATTCTCCGCTACATATATATTTTAGTGTTAAATCGTTCAACATGATACTTTCTCCGGTAAAATAATTAAGTTAAAGTTCAAATCTCTATGGAATGATTAAGAGCAATACAGAACAAACAGTTTACTTTATCGATATTCTTAGAAATGGTTTTCTCAGTTCCTTAAAAAGTTAACTTCATTATGACAAACTTGTATTTTATTTCATCTCATTCATATGGTATTTAGAATTAATATTTACATCTTTACTTTATCTCTCAAATTTTAAAAATTTGGTTTGGTTAATATGGCTTCAATGGCGATTCATTAATTTGAAGATGTGACTATTATTACATCTAATTTCATTAAGAAACAGCCTTACTATTTTTCAATTTCCTGGAAATGAATTTATCATTGTTTTAATACCAATCTTCTTTTCATGTTTATCAAATTACTGACACCAATTATTGCTCTAAATTTTGAAAATTTCACCTTAACAAAATCCATTTCAATTTTGAATCTCATTTATAAATGTGTGCTAACAACAAAGTTTGTAATAATTATTTGTATGAGGTTTGTTTAAATCATTAAATTGTCTGTTTGTATAATATTTTTCACTCGTATCTCAATTCACAAAAAACTGTTGCGTGAAACATTCTCCACACTATACAGACTCAGCCGAATCTAAACAAATTAAGCTGATTTGCTTGACCTTTCCTATTAGATTCAAGGTTACTGTTATAAATATTAAAAGCAGTTTATTAATTTAATATTTACTACGAATCATATCAAGTGTGACTGCGCTAATATTCGTACAGTTGCCGATGCATTGTTTTGTTAACAGTCAAAATGCAATTAGTATTCATTCCCTGTAACTTTGTGTTACACAATTTGGTTAACAAACTTGTTTGTTATTCGGTTTCATATGTTTGTTGTCAATTTTATTAGAGGAGTTTTTATGTAAAAATCTATCTTTTCTTTGATGTTTGTTCATTTAAATGGATAACCATGAATCACTTGGTTAATTTAAATTTTCCTTCAGCTTTTGACAAATCAAAAGCTGATCCACCGAGTTTGGTTGCAGCTCCAGAGGAAGAAGACTCGGACAATGATGAACCTCTTTTAAGTGGTTCAGGTGAGGTGTCTAAAGAATGTAGTGAAGTTGAATTGCAAGGATGGGCCGATGTTCTTGCCAAATGGAGAAAAGATCTTAATCAACGACCCAAAGGCCTAGCAGAATTGGTTAAAAGAGGTGTACCAGAAGCCTTAAGAGGTGAAGTGTGGCAATTGTTAGCTTGTTGTCAAGATGACTTAGCTCTTATGGAAGAGTATAGAGTTTTAATCACAAAGGAAACTCCATTTGAACTTTTTATCCGTAAAGATACTAACAGAACATTCCCCGCCAATGAGTATTTCAAGGAATCTGGTTCATCTGGACAAGATTCACTATATCGGTTGTGTAAAGCATATTCAATTTATGATCAAGAGATTGGTTATTGTCAAGGATTAACTTTCATAACGGCAGCTTTGCTTCTTCATATGCCAGAGGAACAAGCATTCTGTCTTCTGGTCAGAATAATGCATCAATATCGTGTGCGAAATCTATTCCGTTCCGGTTTTGAGGAGTTACAACTTCAATTTTATCAACTAGAGAGAATAATGGAAGATTTGATTCCTGATTTACACCAACATTTCGTTGCATCTGGTATTGAAGCTCACATGTACGCCTCCCAATGGTTTTTAACACTCTTCAGTGCTAAATTTCCTCTCCATGTTGTTTTTTACATACTAGACTTGTTTTTACTCCAAGGAATTGAAACAATCTTCCAAGTTGCCATAGCTCTTCTCCAATTATCTCGCAAAGAACTTCTTGAACTCGATTTTGAAGGAGTTCTCAAGCACTTTCGTGTACATTTACCTAAAAGATATAGAGTTGAAGAAAACGCTCGTATCCTTTTACAAACAGCTGTTGGTGTTAAAATCAAAAAGTTGGCTAAATATGAAAAAGAGTATCATGCAACAAGAGCTGATCGGATGGATCCGGTAGAAAGATTAAAACAGGAGAACAAAAAACTGTTAGAAAGTAACTTGAGATTGGAACAAGAAAATGACGATCTATCACATGATTTGGTTAATAGTAAATTACAATTGGGCAAGCAACTGGAAATAGCCGAAGACAAAGCCGATTGCTTACAAAAAGAACTCATCGTAACTAAACAATTGTTAATCGATGTCGTAGACGAGAAGAAAAGATTAGAAGATGAAATCAAGCAAGTTAAAGAAGTTTTCAGAAAAGCAACAGCCAAAACTGATATTGATATCAAACGAGATGCCAAAATTATCGAGCAGTACAAAGAAATATGTTCCAAACTAAGTGAAAGATTAGAACAAGAACAGAATACGTTAACCGAGAAGCTCAATAGCTTGCAATTAGCTTGCAAAGATTGTGAAAAATGTTGTAAAATCATTAAAAAATGTCTTTCAGGTGAGAAAGACCAAGTTTCAGACCAAGATGCAGATATTACAGAAGCAAACAGTGGAAACGCGGAGGAGTTTACTCACCCATTGGCACCTTTACCGACACCTTCAGGACAGGATACAACGTCTATGGAGTCTAAAGTGAGGGAATTGGAATTGGAATTGGCACAAACAAAGTTAGCTCTGGTTGAAACTAAATGTCAAAATCAAGAACTCATCCATCAATTGGCTGCTGCTCAAACGGAAGCTCAACAAGCAAAAAATTTCTGGTTCAATAAAACAATATCTTCTATTCGTGAAGTTGCCAAAAAAGATTACAAAGATAAAAGCAAATACAATAGCTCAGTTCCTCGTAAAGGGAGTCGAGAATTTCCGTCCTAAGCTAATGTTGAACAAATTCATAATTATCGAGGGATAACTCGAATTCAATCCTAAGCTAGATTTACATAATTTGAAAACTAACACACAATTTTTTTAACGTTATCTTAATCATTGAAGGCCATAAATTATTTCTTAATTATTTTTTAAATCATGGTGACATCACAAATGACAAATTTATATCAATTAACTTGTGCAATATCATTGGTGACATGACATAGTGGAACAATTTTGGAGTTAAATCAGTTGAACAAAATTTTAACGGCCAATAAGCTAAGATTGTAAATTAACTGTGACATATATTTTATTGAATTCGTTATATTCTCAACTGATTCATCAAATCAATTGTTGAATGATTTTATTATCTTTCTAAAACATGTTTCGATTGATGAATGATAATTCTAATAATTTCCCGTTTCTCCTCATCTCGTCTTTCTCTTAATAACAAATGTTAAATTGATATGAACGCTGAAACTTTCCAATAAAATTGATCATTAATGGTCAACATTAATCCAATAGCTGATTTTTTTGGTTTTGAAAACAACAAGTGACTGCGAGTGATTAAGACTGATTTCATGTGAATTTTATTTTCGCAATCAATTCTCTTTGAGATACCGAAAATTCATTATAAAGTATCAACCTTTTTACACGCCATTCTATTTATTTACCTCAATCTGATCAATATTTTGAGATATCTCAAACAATCGAAGATAATGGCTGATTGTTTTTGTATTGAAAGGATTTCAATTCACTGAATGGCTTCAAAATAATAAGAAATGGAAAGAATGATGTAGAATATGAATTTTAATATGCTGGACGTTGTCCGAATTCAAAGTTGTCTATCAAGATGAAGAAAAATTGAATGATCATTAACTTTGGTCAACTTTTTAATCACCATTTTAAGCTTTGGTTTCATTTTATTTCAACTCGATTTTTTCACTCCATACATGGATTTTTTCAATTTGAGAAAAGATAAGATTTCATTTCTTGGTTTTTTTTCATAATAAGATGATAATGATATTAATAATTTTTAATTGTTTCCTTCAATTTTTAATGCATAAAATAGCTCATAATCATAAATTTGTATTAAATCAAAGCAACCCATAAATAACAAAGATTGAAACTTTTGATTCAGAGTTTCAACTTGATGATAAAATAATTTAGCCATGAAAGATAGACTTTTGATGAAATATTTTTCTAATAAACAAATTCGGAATCATGTTTCATATGAATCAATTGTAATAATTGATAGTGTATCATAAAAAGCTAAGGAAAAACTCCCATCATTTTGCTTACAAAGTTAATAATCTTGTTTTGCTGTCTTTCACCCAATCTTGCTTTTTGTTTCTTCCTATTGAAGGTTTACATTGTTCCGTATTTCTGATTTCTTGATACAATTGTATTCATTCTTGTACTTTGATATCTTCATAAATTTTAGAACATTTAAAACGAAATTTCGATCTAACACCAACTTTCATAATGATCTTAACTCCATTGATGACCGACACGATAGACAGTTTTGAATGATCAAGAAGAAGGGTCACCAGAAGCTTCACTACCCAATGAGCTTTGAAACAAATTGGAATCAATTTTAAAATACATCGATTTTGGTATCGACTATGGAACCTGAGCTGAACTTAATCTATGAAATCGTTTAAAAGCCTTTGTGAGTCACCAGTCAAGCTACTTACTGGTCTTATCACTTGTAGTCTGTTATCAATATGACAAAAATTATTTTGCCTATAATTTAAAAGCCTTTATCTCGGAATCAACAGATGACTATCAACTCAAAGGTTTATCCACCATAAACGGGTGGCATCGCTCATTTATCCATATAAATTTAAATATTGCCCAAAGTAATCGATAAAAAAACAGAATAATGAACTATCTCAAATATGTTTATGTTTTGATGTTATACACATTAAGGATAAAATAAATTTTGATAATAACGGTGGTCATTATTGATTGATTCATTCTTGTAATTATAATTATAATGGTTGTAAAGAAATTTGTATTTTTTGTTGTATCAGTTAGTAATTGTGATTATGGGCTATTTAAATTAAGTTGCTTATTAAAATGCAGCATTTAATAATAAAGATAGTCTTGAGAAATTTTAATCTGTTGTACACCGGGCTAGAAGTTCCTTTCTCAGGACGGAAATTCGCGACTACCTTGCCGTGAAACTGATCCAATATCTTTGCCTCGTTCTTTATCTTTGAACTCTTTCTTGGTTACTTCACGAATTGACGAGAGTGTTTTATTAAACCACGAATTTTTCGCTTGCTGAGTTTCAGCTTGGGCATTTGTCAATTGATGAATAAGCTCTTGATTTTGGCATTCAGCTTCAACCAAAGCTAATTTAGTTTGCGCTAGTTCCAATTCAAGTTCTCTTAGTTTCGACTCCATCGACGCGTCACTTTGCGATGATGAGGGGGCAAGTGGATGAGATGTTCCATCAAAAGCTTCACCATTCTCCATCTTTTGCTGCCGAACTTTATCTTGACCTTCTTTCTCTCCAGAAATAAATTTACTGATGGTTGAACTACAGGTTTCACATGTTTTACACAATACAGCCAATGAATCGAGCTTTTCGTTCAGACTACTCTGTTCTTGTTCAAGTCTTTCACTTAATTTGGAACATATCTCCTTGTATTGTCCGATTATCTTGGCATCTCTTTTAATATCAACATCAGTTTTGGCTGTTGCTCTTCTGAACACTTCTTTTACTTGACTTATCTCTTCCTCCAGTCTTTTCTTTTCTTCTTCGGTGTCAACTAACAATTTTTTCGTGGCTAATAGCTCTTTCTGTAGAGAGTCAACTTTATCCTCGGAAACGTCTAATTGTCTTCGTAAATGAATTTTACTATTTACTAGGTCATGGGCTAAGTCATCGTTTTCCTGCTCCAATCTCATGTTACTTTCTAATAGCTTTTTATTTTCCTTTTTCAATCTTTCAACTGGATCGACACGATTTGCTTTAGTCGCTTGGTAATCTTTTTCGTATTTAGCCAACTTTTTGATTTTAACATTAACAGCTGTTTGTAAAAGGATACGAGCGTTTTCTTCAACTCTATATCTTTTAGGTAAATGCACACGAAAGTGTTTAAGTACTCCTTCAAAATCGAGCAAAAGAAGCTCTTTTCGGGATAATAGTAGAAGGGCAATGGCAACTTGAAAAATGGTCTCCATTCCTTGGAGTAAAAATAAGTCAAGTATATAAAATACAACATGAAGAGGAAATTTAGCACTGAAAAGCGTTAAAAACCATTGGGAGGCGTACATGTGAGCTTCAATACCAGATGCAACGAAATGTTGATGTAGATCAGGAATCAAGTCTTCCATTATTCTCTCTAGTTGATAAAATCGTAGCTGTAACTCCTCAAAACCAGAACGGAATAAATTACGAACACCATATTGGTTCATGATTTTGACCAGAAGACAGAATGCTTGTTCCTCTGGCATATGAAGAAGCAAAGCTGCCGTCATGAAAGTTAATCCTTGACAATAACCAATCTCTTGATCATAAATAGAATATGCTTTACACAACCGATATAGTGAATCTTGTCCAGATGAACCAGATTCCTTGAAATACTCATTGGCGGGGAATGTTCTGTTAGTATCTTTACGGATAAAAAGTTCAAATGGAGTTTCCTTTGTGATTAAAACTCTATACTCTTCCATAAGAGCTAAGTCATCTTGACAACAAGCTAATAATTGCCACACTTCACCTCTTAAGGCTTCTGGTACACCTCTTTTAACCAATTCTGCTAGGCCTTTGGGTCGTTGATTAAGATCTTTTCTCCATTTGGCAAGAACATCGGCCCATCCTTGCAATTCAACTTCACTACATTCTTTAGACACCTCACCTGAACCACTTAAAAGAGGTTCATCATTGTCCGAGTCTTCTTCCTCTGGAGCTGCAACCAAACTCGGTGGATCAGCTTTTGATTTGTCAAAAGCTGAAGGAAAATTTAAATTAACCAAGTGATTCATGGTTATCCATCTAAATGAACAAACATTAAGAACAATGCTAGTTTCTTACAGAAACACTTATAATCACAATCAGTCATTTCCATCTGAGAATAAGTGTGTAAAACTAATAAACAACTGTTTTTGAGCTTGACAAATATCAGATCTAAGATTCAATGCATAGGCAATATCAGATACCAATACCAATCCACTCAAAGAGTAAAGAAGAGTTTACATCTTTATTTAAGGTTAAATCATCCACTGGGTCAACTATAATTATCGTCATGTTGAAATTATTTATGTTGATTGGATCCGAAATGAATACAATGGTAAAGCTGAAGTAATAATTGTTTCCATTTTATTTGCTCCCATCTTTTTTACCGGTCTTTTGGGTAACCTTTGGTTAATTGTCCACCAAGCTCAACATCATTTATAACACCAACACTTGCCTCTTCAATGTGTATTTTATCGGACACTCTACGAGACATTTCAGTCTCTGTTTCTTCCTTAACTCTGATTGCCGTCTCTCTTGATCGCTACCTTGCCGTTTTATCAGCTGTTGCCTGGGTGCAGAAACAAGTTGACCGTAAACATCGTAACCTAGCACTGGCAACAATCTATTTAATCTGGTTAATCTACACAATCTACACAATATATAAAGTCAATGTATCACATTTTTGTGTCAAGATTGTGGTCAAACTGAGCGGGTTTTAAGAAAAAAAAATTACACAGCATGAAAGCACGAAATCAGGGTGGAAAAAAAACACCGCCCGCCGCTACTACCGATTGAATGATTTAGTGAGGACTTCGGACTGGTCAATCCAGACCATTGGGAAACTAGTGGTCGGATTGTGCTGGAAAGATGTTCAAACTTGATCATTTAGAGGAAGTAAAAGTCGTAACAAGGTTTCCGTAGGTGAACCTGCGGAAGGATCATTAACGTATTACCCTCTTATTATAAGAGAAATACAACCTTCAACAATCAAACACTCTGCATAGTGATATTGTAGATGCTAATATGGTGAATGCAATTGAATTGTATTTGCATTAGAGTCGCAATTGTGAATGTTTAATGCAAACATTTAGCCATTGCAACATGATTCTAACTTGCATTACATTCATTCATTCATACATCCATCATTCATTATCCAATGCAACAAAGGGTGAGGGTTATCTAACGATAGCCATAATTTCTTATTTCTTATTTTTTATTCAAAAGCATTGTGGAGGGAAATTTTATTTTTTATTTTAATGATTTGGTTGATTTGGTGGATGTGTTAGATTGGGTGGTGAACATTACCGTGAAGTCAATAGAAATCTAATAATCTAATCTTACCTATTTTTTCATATTAAATTCTATGAAAATAACAATATATTGCAATATTTTTCAATATTTAACGATATTTTTCAATAACAATATCATCAATAAGTATCGATAAGTACTCAAACAATATTTTTCCTATCGATAAATAACTTTTTTCAATATTTTGCAACACTATGCATTAGAGTCGCAATTGTGAATGTTTAATGCAAACATTTAGCCATTGCAACATGATTCTAACTTGCATTACATTCATTCATTCATACATCCATCATTCATTATCCAATGCAACAAAGGGTGAGGGTTATCTAACGATAGCCATAATTTCTTATTTCTTATTTTTTATTCAAAAGCATTGTGGAGGGAAATTTTATTTTTTATTTTAATGATTTGGTTGATTTGGTGGATGTGTTAGATTGGGTGGTGAACATTACCGTGAAAAGACCGTTAGCATGTGTGGTTAAAAAAAACTTGCGACCAGCCATTTCTTGTATCAATAATCAGTAACTAACTGATACAACAAAAATACAAATATTTTGACAACCATTATAATTATAATTACAAGAATGAATCAATCAATAATGACCACCGTTATTATCAAAATTTATTTTATCCTTAATGTGTATAACATCAAAACATAAACATATTTGAGATTCTGATTCTCGCTTCTGGTTCATGGTTCTGCTTTTTATCGATAACTTTGGTCAATATTCAAATTAAATTGCACTCCATTTGAGCAAAATTCAAAAGAGCAAAAGATTAAATAGGTTTGGTCCAACTTCTCAAATCTTTTAAGCTTTTAAGAAATGATCTCTTAAGGTTTAAAGTTACCAACACCACCAGCACCACATCTTATCTGTTGATTCATTTCTTTTTTCGATAATGTTTAAACTGCTTTGAATAAATATATTAGTCATCTCGGAACAAACAAATAAATCTAGTTTGTGATGCGCATAAACGGATTTTGTGACAAGATACATTTTTATCGAAACGTTTGGACTTCTGGTCTCAGTATTTAAGCACTTTGAACTCTTTCATGTTTTCATTCTTGTGAACAACTTTCTGCCACCAATAAAGCAGGCTTCAATTTTTTCTTTGCAAACTTTTCTAGATTAATTTTCAGTGAATTTGCCTTCAACCTTTTCATTTTTTGTAGTTTATTGTTGCCATTTATTAGTGTTTTTTGGTGAAAATGTTATTGAATGAACTTCCAGAAGAGTGTTTGCTCCTCATTTTTGGTTCGATTAATGAACTAAAAGATTTAATAAACTGCTACAAAGGTAAATATGAAAATGTTATTTTTATTCTTTGCAACAATTTTAAGTTACGTTCATTTAATGACAAATGACATTGAATAATTAACTAGCAACTTACCAATTCAATGAATTTTCTGTCTTTCTACAGTCTGTAGTAATGTAACAATAAAAAACACTTAAATTAATATTTAACACTGCTAGTTGGTTGACTAGGGTTAGACAAAAGTAGCTCAGAAGAAGCCAAAAACAGATGTTGTAGATTTAGCGCGTAAACCTTTACTGACCGTCTAATGTCAATGAAACGTACAGTGCTTATGAGTTTGTGTTGTAATATGAATCAGTAATTTGTTACGTTCCCAGATTTAATTTGAAACCTGATTAATACAATGATTACGCATTCAACAAGTTGCCAACAGTTGTACAGTAACACATGTATATAAATATCATCGAAATGAACGTATTTTCACTTTACCGTTTCTCTTCAAAAACCTTCAAGTTCAAGTTTATCTTGATCGGGAACAGCTTACTTCGCCCTTTATCCACCACTTTTTTACCGTCTTTTCACCGTATTGTCAACCACCCAATCTAACGCATCCACCAAATCAACCAAATCAAACATTATCACTTTTTAAAGAGACTTTTCTCAACCTTTTCTTGTCCACCTACCGTTTTTTAGTTTATTAATCAATGATTTATTGTTCAATTGAAAAGACTTTTAAATCAGTAACCGCTTAAGACAATCTGTTTGAATTTAACATCGATCAATTAAATTTAAAAATTGAGAATAACTCAATAGAGATAGATATTAAAGCTAATTCTGAAGCGGCTTGCTGGTCAATTTGTTTGTCCACTAATTCAACAATTGAATATTAGGTAAGAGTAAGGTTTTACGGACTATGGAGGGGCAACATGAGACATTTAAATCAAGATTCAATCAGGTTAATCTTTTAAAATTAAGTCTATGGTTATAATGGTAATTGAACTAGTTGTTAGTTACTAATCTTGTCTCAAATCCATGGATACTGAAAGAAGAGAAGAGAAATTTCTGAATAATCATTAATTTCATATGAAAAACAATTAAACTCAAATGTTCACCTGTTTGTGTACTAATTATCAATTTTACTATTGGTTAGCAAAAGTGTGTGATTTTTAAGTTCCGCCTTAGTCCGCAAAACCTTACTCTTACCGAATATTAGTTAAAATATCATTGTTATGCAAAAATTATAAAACAACACATGAGTGCCTTTTATGCGATTGGTTTAAATCGTATGTTAAATTAACGCTCCTCCTTGTGTCCGTGTAACTAGACTGTCACCGACTTTTTATTGAAATCTTACTAGTCAAGTTTGGCTATTGATTAGTTTAATCTATTCAAATCCTAATGATTTAACCTCTCAAATATTCCAAATTAGCTTATTATGCCCATAAGTTGTAGCAATCATTCTCATTCATTATTTGTAAAGATGTTGATTTTCACTGGAAAGGATTCACATTCACTAAATCAGTGTCAAAGTCCTCATCAATCTGCTAAATTGACTGTCAAGGATTTAAAGCCTTAAAATTTTAAATTCAACTCTTTGCTATTCAAATGCATAGCTTTCATTTTTCACCATAATTTACCTTCGTAGAGGGTTTTTACATTGATTCATGTACTCGCGATTTTTCCGCCAACAACGTGCTTTGAAATATTACCACAATCTTTGAAATACTTTGTATTGTTTGGAAATTATTTCATTTGGAAATAATGAATATATGAACAATTATATCTTTTCCGAAGCAAAATTTTTGAATTTTGGGTTATTGGTTAAAAGATGAAATCAACAGGGAAAAGTAATCAGCATTTAATTCAGGCTTTTTACTTGTTTCTTAATAAATATTTTCGACAATTTTAAGTTATGTTCATTTAATGACAAATGTAATTGAATAATTATCGAACAACAAACTAATTCAATGAATTTTCTGTCTTTCTACAGTCTGTAGTAAGTGGCACTTTTTAATTGCGGAGAGAGCTAGAAAAGCCAAATACTTGATTGGCAATACTTGGACATATGGTAAGATATTTGTTTAATGGTTAACAATAATTTAATTAAATCTAATAAAAACGCTTTATATTTTCAGGCCAAAAAGATTATGCACTCAATCGAGTTTATTATGCGCCAGAAGAATGCATCAACAGACCTTATTTATCAAAGTTGTTTGTCAATTTAAAAGTATGTATTAATGTCACTGAAATTGATAGTTTCTTAAAATTCATTTCATTTCTAATTTTATCAACATAGATTGTAGATATATCCCCACCACCCGGTAACATAATATCATTTAATGCGCCCACTTACCCAGTTTTGAAGCTGTTGAGAGATGCAAAGCATCTGAAAGGTCTAATAGATGATCCTAGCATGGACTATTCAGATAAACTTGCTCATTTTCCAAATCTGGAAATGATAACTATCAATTTCGAGTCCATGGTTAATTTTAAAGTTAATGCCAATGTTAAGCAGATCTACAGTCATAAAGGCCGAATGTCGCCTTTTACTTGGCTGCCAGTCGTTTTCCCCAATCTTGAAAGGCTACATGCATCTATTAGTGATGAAGCAGGTAATTTTACCTTTAATTTTGATAGAAATGTTTTTTAACTTTGCATTTGTCTTTTTTTCATGTTCATGGGATGTAGCTGCTCAATATGTTGGTAGCCAATTGAGAAATCTTAAAATAATTGAATTGGATCTGCGACCTCATCAAATGTCAAACCTTGTTTTTGGGTTTCAATTTCTGGATTCATGCCCAGCGCTGGAGAGCGCGTATATTTACGCCCAGACTCTAAGCATAATTATCGATGATTACACAAAAAATAAAAACTTAAAAGATTTGGTTTTGTCATTTGTAAGTATAAAGTTTCCTTGAAATATTCATATTTTAATTAATAATAATATTTCATTTGTAATTTGCAATATAGCAATCTGAAATCGATTGGGATCAACTACGGATGTTATTGTCCAAGTATCCAAATATCAAGCACTTGGCGATACGATATAACAAAACTTTGGAAGACCAACACGTTATTCACATTATTTCAAGTTTACCGAAACTGGTGTTACTTGATGTTCGTGGGTCTTATAAAGTCACTAAAAAAGCTGCTGCTTTTGTTCGAAATTATTCTGAGCGATATGGACGTTCAATCAAGTTCTATTTTAGGAGAGATGACGAAAAAATTGCAATTGATTGGCCACAGTTTTCAACACGACTAGAAAGAGTTAGTTGTGGACTAAATTTCATGAAACATTGTTTCCTCAAAGAATTCCTTTACTTGCCGCGTTTCTTGGATCCTATGGATGATTAAAAATAACAAATAAAACATGTTCAGAACTGAAATCATATAAAATTATCTTATCACAACTTTATTTCATTAATCTTGCAGCACTTTGATCCATTCAATGGCAACAAGTTCGTGTACCTAACTATGTTCAATCTCAAGTGTCTATGTACAAAACAGACAAATTAATACTTTTGAACCTAAATTTTCATCGTCCTTGGATTTTAAGCGATATCTCTCATTTTTTTACTCATATTAATAATTCTGTCATGAGCAGATGGCTCTTCAAATTGCCTTATAAAAGTCGTGGTTTGATTGAACAATACGTTAGTCAACATTAATTATCCAGTTCAAATTAACCTACAAATAAAATTACGTCTCTAAATATGACATCTTACCGTTTTTTAGTGACAGCGATCGATGCGTAAGTATCATAAAACTGTTTTCTGTTAGACAATAGTTTAGTATTAATTGTTAACCAGATAAACTTCAACTCATTTTCATTTAATATACAATACACAATGATTTCATTCATTTTTTAATTCTTTACTAGGGCTGGACACGTCAATACAGTTTTAAGATTTTCTGAAGGTTTAAAAGCCGCTGGACATGAAGTTTATTTTGCTCATCGAGAAAAACATCGACATTTGGCTGTTGAAGGAGGATTTTCATTCATTCCGTTTGATGAGACACTTTGGAAGGTAAATTTAGATGAATTGATGCTCCGTTTATTTGATCTGTCAGTTGCAAAATTTCGCAAAGATCCAGTTGAACGTTTGCTTGAAAAGTATCCAAATGAAGAGGAAGCTGACAAATTACTCTCTATTTATTACGATGTGGTTAATCAAGCTTTGGATAAAATAATTTCTGATGAAATTGTCAAATTTGATGCAATAATTGTTGATTTCGTGTCACCATCTCCGCCCTTATATAAGAGTCCAATTCCTTGGTTTCCGATTTGCTCACTGAATCCATTGGTATTATACCCATCAGGACCTCCACCATTTTCTGGTTACTCTGTTAACAGTGATCAGTCCAATTGGGATGAATTCAGAAAGATTCATCGACAAGCTCATTCCAATCTTATTGAAACAGTCAATAAAGATTTGGATGTTGCTGGTCTTAAACAAGCCAGATTCAATCCAGCAAAATTCGTAGATAGTCCTCAAACCATTGGCTTCTATCATTATCCAGCTGCCTTGGACTACACTGAATGTGAACCAATAGAACCTGGTTGGTGCCGAATAGATTCTCTCATTCGTCAGCCTGATGATGATACTGATTTTGTTATACCAGAGCGGTTGAAAGATAAGCCTGGAAAAACTATTTACTTCTCGTTAGGATCACTGGCATCAGCAGATTTAGCCATGTTGCAAAGGTTTATTAGTATTTTAGCTAAATCACCTCATAAATTTATCATCTCCAAAGGAGCTCGAGGTGATCAACTTGAATTGACTGACAACATGTGGGGTGAAAATTTCGTGGATCAACTTAAGGTGATGCAAGTCGTTGATCTGGTTATAACGCATGGAGGGAACAATACTTTTATGGAAACACTTTATTATGGAAAGCCCATGATTGTATTTCCCTATTTTAACGACCAATTTGATAATGCACAGCGAGTTGTTGATAAGAAAATCGGTTTTCGTGTCAATCCATATGATTTCAATGAATATTATTTTCTCGATTGCATTGAGAAAATATTTGCTGATGAACAAATAAAAAATCGAGTGGAAGCTATTTCACAAAGCATGAGAAACTCAAATAGTTTATCTGAAGCTGTAAAAATGATAGAAAAACAAATTGGACTTAAAAAAGCATCTGTACACTGAAAGCCTGAATATCATCCAAATCCGCAGTTCAAGGATGAAAAAGGAAGATTCAGAAGGTTCTATAATAGATCGAAATTTTTCTGGAGAAAAAATAGAATCACTGAAATTAACCACTTATTGAAGGTATAAGGAACTTTTTAATAATGGATTTTTGCACAGGCAACATGAAAATACTTTTTGACAAGTTTCATCCACTTAGGCCCTGTATTTAAAGAAATCGGTTTTTGCATATAAACCGACAACGGAAATACGTAAACAAAAATCCTTTCTTTCTGCACTTCTTCATATTGATGTCCATCTATGGTGAAAATTTGAAATGGGTAGGTGTTACCGTTTGTGAGCTATCGGTGACCAAAGTTTGATTTTTTGAAATTTTTGAGCTGTGGACTAAGTCTTCGCTTCGCTCAGACTAATTAACGCAATGATAATTTACCGCTCACTTTATGGTACACCCTGTATCAAATCAAGAGTAAGAAATTAGATTTGATTTCATGCAACTTGTTTTCGTTATTTTTTGAATCGTATATAAATATTGATACCAAATGAATAAAGATCTATTTTATTATATTACATCAACCCTTCACACCTAATTTTCAGTGTCAGTTTGCGTTAATCATCAATCTTTCGATTAATGAATAGATTAATTTTAAATGACTCGAATTTGATAATTAAGGAGGACAAAGTTGACTCTCTACAGAAAGAGCTATTAGCCACTAAAAAATTGTTAGTTGACACCGAAGAAGAAAAGAAAAGACTGGAAGAAGAGATAAGTCAAGTAAAAGAAGTGTTCAGAAGAGCAACAGCCAAAACTGATGTTGATATTAAAAGAGATGCCAAGATAATCGGACAATACAAGGAGATATGTTCAAAATTAAGTGAAAGACCTGAACAAGAACAGAGTAGTCTAGATTTTCCAGATGATAATCTCTCAAGATAAGCTTGCAAAGATTGTGAAAAATGTTGTAAGATCATTAAAAAATGTCTTTCAGGTGAGAAAGCTTGACAAGCTCACCGAACTAAATGATATTGTAAACTGCTTTAAAGGTGTGTATAAACAGTGTTACTTTATTGTATTTTAATTAACTATTATAATTTAATAATTAATTGATGTCTTTTTACAGTCTTTGAAAGATGGAGTTACATATGTTATGTATATTATTAGTCAGCGAACGCGGAAGGTCAAATACCTAATAAGTAACCCACGGCTTGATGGTACATATAAGATATACGTTTGAAGCTCAGTAACATTGTGAATAATTTATAAAATCTAATGAAAAGATTTACATTTTCAGATGACGAAGTTTATTCCAAGGATCTGGTTTATCATGTAAGAACAGAACCTTTAGATGGATCTGTTTTACACAAGGTTTTTCCAAATTTAAGGGTAAGTTGTCAGAATAATTACAATTCGATCGTTCGTTTAAATTAATTTCATTATTTAACTAACAACATAGATCGCTGACATTTCCCCGCCATACAGGATAAGAAAAAAATATGACATTTCTAATTAGGCTTTGGAGCTGTTGAGAAATGGCAAACACATCAAAGGATCCTTCATCCTTCAAAATCGAGTAAAAGAAGCTCTTTTCGGGATAATAGTAGAAGGGCAATGGCAACTTGAAAAATGGTCTCCATTCCTTGGAGTAAAAATAAGTCAAGTATATAAAATACAACATGAAGAGGAAATTTAGCACTGAAAAGCGTTAAAAACCATTGGGAGGCATACATGTGAGCTTCAATACCAGATGCAACGAAATGTTGATGTAAATCAGGAATAAAATCTTTCATTATTCTCTCTAGTTGATAAAATTTGATGTTATAACTCCTCAAATCGGAACGGAATAAATTACGAACACCATATTTGTTCATGATTTTGACCAGAAGACAGAATGCTTGTTCCTCTGGCATATGAAGAAGCAAAGCTGCCGTCATGAAAGTTAATCCTTGACAATAACCAATCTCTTGATCATAAATTGAATATGCTTTACACAACCGATAAAGTGAATCTTGTCCAGATGAACCAGATTCCTTGAAATACTCATTGGCGGGCAAGATACTCGATTAGTTCTTGCGAGAATCGATAAGCTTCACATGAGCTAAAAACTCGCGAATTTTGCGATTAAAAGTTTGAAGAAAAAATAAAAGGACATTCGGCATAATTTTAGCAACTCAGAATTAAAATACTCGACTTCCAGTGATTTCAGTGCTATGCAAAAGACTAATTTGTACTCTATTGATGTAAAGTAGGGATGTGTGATTGCCATTTTTTACTGATATCGATTTTGCTCAGAAATCCATCGATTTTCGATTGTTAAAAGCACATTTATTTCAGAAAAAATACCTAAAAAACACTTCATTTCTTCATTTTTTCAAAAAAAGTATCAGCGGATCTATAAAAGCGTCTCCTGGCTCGAAAGCACGGGTTTTTAAGGAGATTGATTTTCTCTCGGTTGAGATGGATCAATTTTTGAGCGAGAAAGATGGATCAGATCGATCTTAAAATCGAATCGACACTTCCTTCATGTAAAGAAGAGCTTCAATGTTGGAGATGTTGCTTGAATGCTTCAAGGTTTAATATTTGCTACCTTGATTAAGCATCGATATAATCGATTCCCTTGCGCTAATCGCTAAAAATATCGATTACCTGATTAATCGAGAATCGTCAATCTCTATGTGTAACACAAAGTTACAGGGAATGAATACTAATTGCATTTTGACTGTTAACAAAACAATGCATTTGCAACTGTACGAATATTAACGCAGTCACACTTGATATGATTCGTAGTAAATATTAAATTAATAAACCACTTTTAAGATTCATTAACTGCAACCTTGAATCTAATAGGAGAGGTCAAGCAAATCACATTAATTTGTTGAGATTCGGTTAAGTCTGTATAATGTTAGTGTGAGCGAATGTTTCACGCAAGTGTTTTTTTGTGAATTAAGATACGATGTGAGTGAAAAATATTGTACAAACAGACAGTTTAATGACTTAAACAAACCTCATACAAATAATTATTACAAGCTTTGTTGTTAGCATACATTTATAAATGAGATTCAAAATTGAAATGGAATTTGTTAAGGTGAAATTTTCAAAATTCAAATCAATAATTGGTGTCAGTAATTTGATAAACATGAAAAGAAGATTGGTATTTGTGTTATTGGTAAAAGTTTTTTGTGAATTGTGATACGAGTGAAATATTGTATTGTAGAGTCAACTTTATCCTCGGAAACGTCTAATTGTCTTCGTAAATGAATTTTACTATTTACTCATGGGCTATTTTCCTGCTCCAATCTCATGTTACTTTCTAATAGCTTTTTATTTTCCTTTTTCAATCTTTCAACTGGATCGACACGATTTGCTTTAGTCGCTTGGTAATTTTAATTTGGTATTGTTAGTCATCCATAGGATCCAAAAAATATGGTAATGTGTCATTGTCTTTGAGAAAACAGTTTGCCATGAAATCGAATCCACGGCTAATTATTTCTTGTCGAGTTGACAAATGTGGCCAATCTTTCTCAATTTGCTCGCGATCTTCTTTTTTGAAATAAAAATAAATCGATCGTCCATGCCGTTCACAATAATCTTCAACGAAACGCGCAGATCTACGAGTTAATCGAGGAGAACCACGAACATCAAGTAACACCAGTTTTGGTAAAGTTGATAGAATATCGTGGATATGATCATCCCTCAAAGTCAAATTACATCGTAACGCCAAATGCTTTAGATTCGGATACTTGGCCAATAAATCTATTTGGGAATGCCACGCTACTGCCTCTCTCTGTATTGTTAAATCAGAAATGCATGTTATTCATTAGATATCATGTAAATATAAAAGTATTGTGAGAGACTCATATCATCTAAAGCAGTTCATTGGAATCTATTGCCGATTAAAATGATTTCTTCACAAAGGAAAATGAATATTTCAAGGAAATTTCATACTTACAAATTGCAAGACTAAATCTCGCATATTTTCATTTTTAGTTGTATCTTCGACGATAACTGCAGAGGTGAAAGCGTAAACATGTGCGCTTACTAGAGCCGGGCAAGCATCAAGTAACTCCAATCCAAACTGTAGAAGGCCTGGTAATGAATTCGCTCTAAGATCCAGTTCAGCTATTTTAAGGTTCATAAGTTTTGGGCCATCATAACCAGCATCTACATCACATGAAAACGCAAGAAAAAGGGTAATTAGAAAAACATTTATATTAAAATTAAATTTAAGCTCTTGATTTTGGCATTCAGCTTCAAGCAAAGCTAATTTAGTTTGTGCTAGTTCCAATTCCAGTTCTCTTAGTTTGGACTCCATTGGCATCTCTTTTAATATCAACATCAGTTTTGGCTGTTGCTCTTCTGAACACTTCTTTTACTCGACTTATCTCTTCCTCCAGTCTTTTCTTTTCTTCTTCGGTGTCAACTAATAATTTTTTAGTAGCTAATAGCTCTTTCTGTAGAGAGTCAACATTATCCTTAGAAACGTCTAATTGTCTTCGTAAATGAATTTTACTATTTACTAGGTCATGGGCTATTTTCCTTTTTCAATCTTTCAACTGGATCGACACGATTTGCTTTGGTCGCTTGGTAATCTTTTTCGTATTTAGTCAACTTTTTGATTTTAACATTAACAGCTGTTTGTAAAAGGATACGAGCGTTTTCTTCAACTCTATATCTTTTAGGTAAATGCACACGAAAGTGTTTAAGTACTCCTTCAAAATCGAGTAAAAGAAGCTCTTTTCGGGATAATAGTAGAAGGGCAATGGCAACTTGAAAAATGGTCTCCATTCCTTGGAGTAAAAATAAGTCAAGTATATAAAATACAACATGAAGAGGAAATTTAGCACTGAATAGCGTTATAAACCATTGGGAGGCATACATGTGAGCTTCAATACCAGATGCAACGAAATGTTGATGTAAATCAGGAATAAAATCTTTCATTATTCTCTCTAGTTGATAAAATTGAAGTTGTAACTCCTCAAAACCGGAACGGAATAGATTTCGCACACGATATTGATGCATTATTCTGACCAGAAGACAGAGTTCTTGTTCCTCTGGCACATGAAGAAGCAAAGCTGCCGTCATGAAGTTTCAAGCATATTTCTATTAAAATTAAATTTAAACTCACCTTGGTTATCATAGCGAATTTTTGCTTGCAATCGTTCTAAACTCGGCAAAAAATGTATTAGTTTGCTGAAGTCAGACATTGGGACAGGATGCGAACACGTGTAGAGCTGTTTCACACTTTCATTAATGTCACTTATAGGTATCTCATCGGGTAGGCGGCTGATACACAACATTTCAAGAGCTGTTCTATTTTTGAATATATCCACATATTTCATCAACGGAACTTCTATTAATCCTTTGATGTGTTTGCCATTTCTCAACAGCTCCAAAACTAAATTAGAAATGTCATATTTTTTTCTTATTCTGTATGGCAAGGAAATGTCAGCAATCTATGTTGTTAGATAAATAATGAAATTAATTTAAACGCACGATCGAATTGCAATTATTCTGACAACTTACCCTTAAATTTGGAAAAACCTTGAGTAAAACAGATCCATCTAAAGGTTCTGTTCTCCCATTATAAACAAGATCCTTGGAATAAACTTTGTCATCTGAAAATGTAAATCCTTTCATTAGATTTCATAAATTATTCACGATGTTAACGAGTTTCAAACGTATATCTTACCAAAAAGCCGTGGGTTACTTATTAAATATTTAACTTTGTGAGTTCGCTCACCAATGATATAACTCCATCTTTCGCAGACTGTAAAAAGACATCAATTAATTATCAAATTATCTATACAATATATAAAGTCAAAACATAAAATTTTTGTGTAAAAATTGTAAATAAACGGAAAGGTTTCTACGAGGGAATTTTGTCACAGACTGAAAGCCACGATTGAACTACATGTCCGAAAAATAGTCAGAGGTTAATCAGAATTCAGGTTACTGAGAAATTCCCGTTTAAACAGGGTATGGGGAAAAAATGCAGAATCCGTATTTTTTAGCATTGTGTTTGGGAGGAAAACTTTTTGGTTTTTAATTTGATGGTTTATTGTTGAACTAGGAATAAATGCAAAACTGTCTTTCAAGTAAAGAGTTTGATTAATAATTTGGTGCCTCAACTGTACTAGAGACTGTAAAAGAGATCAGACGACTTTGAAGTCAATGGCACCAACGATTGTTCATCTAAAAAATTTTTAACTCAGAATTTGAGTCTTCAAATGTGGATTGAATTTATCGTACACAGTGAAAATAAATTTGCGATCAATCATGATCGGGGCTGCACTTGTAATAGTTAATCAAAATACAATAAAGTAACACTGTTTATACATACCTTGAAAGCAGTTTACAATATCATTTAGCTCGGTGAGCTTGTCAAAGATGAAGTCTAAAATTTCTGTTGGAAGTTTATCTATAGACATTGTCCCAAAATAACACCAAGAAATGAATGGATTGTAGATGAATTTACTAAAAATTTAGCAATATTGTCACCGAAGTACACCAATGAGGCACTAAAAAACTACAAGGAATGAATCGGTTGTAGACGTGTTCACTAAAAATGGATCAATATAAAAAGTTTGCAAAAGCTACTATCACTAGTTTAAGTTAACCCGAGTTACTAGCCTGTACAAGTTGAGTTTAAAAACGATCTGTTCGGTTCGACTGAAAAAACTGAACTGAACTAGTAAACATTGGTTAAACTTTGGTTGACTTGTTTCTAGTCTGTTTTTATAGTGTGGAAAATTTTGAAATTTTGATATCGACCTTTCAAGTGGCCAAACATGCGTCCAAGTTTGAAGTGGTGAGTCATTTAGACAATCCTGCTTAGAGTAAACAAAGGGTCCTAATCCACAAGTTAAGGATTAAGATGGATCAAGATTTTAATGCTTAACGATTGGAGTTCGATCCTGAATTGAAGTTTTGCCCAACATTCAATTCTCTAATTTTAATGTCTTATTCGCATTCGTTGATATTCGAATTGATTCCAAATCACTTGGTTAATTTAAATTTTCCTTCAGCTTTTGACAAATCAAAAGCTGATCCACCGAGTTTGGTTGCAGCTCCAGAGGAAGAAGACTCGGACAATGATGAACCTCTTTTAAGTGGTTCAGGTGAGGTGTCTAAGGAATGTAGTGAAGTTGAATTGCAAGGATGGGCCGATGTTCTTGCCAAATGGAGAAAAGATCTTAATCAACGACCCAAAGGCCTAGCAGAATTGGTTAAAAGAGGTGTACCAGAAGCCTTAAGAGGTGAAGTGTGGCAATTATTAGCTTGTTGTCAAGATGACTTAGCTCTTATGGAAGAGTATAGAGTTTTAATCACAAAGGAAACTCCATTTGAACTTTTTATCCGTAAAGATACAAACAGAACATTCCCCGCCAATGAGTATTTCAAGGAATCTGGTTCATCTGGACAAGATTCACTTTATCGGTTGTGTAAAGCATATTCAATTTATGATCAAGAGATTGGTTATTGTCAAGGATTAACTTTCATGACGGCAGCTTTGCTTCTTCATATGCCAGAGGAACAAGCATTCTGTCTTCTGGTCAAAATCATGAACCAATATGGTGTTCGTAATTTATTCCGTTCTGGTTTTGAGGAGTTACAGCTACGATTTTATCAACTAGAGAGAATAATGGAAGATTTTATTCCTGATTTACACCAACATTTCGTTGCATCTGGTATTGAAGCTCACATGTACGCCTCCCAATGGTTTTTAACGCTTTTCAGTGCTAAATTTCCTCTTCATGTTGTATTTTATATACTTGACTTATTTTTACTCCAAGGAATGGAGACCATTTTTCAAGTTGCCATTGCCCTTCTACTATTATCCCGAAAAGAGCTTCTTTTACTCGATTTTGAAGGAGTACTTAAACACTTTCGTGTGCATTTACCTAAAAGATATAGAGTTGAAGAAAACGCTCGTATCCTTTTACAAACAGCTGTTAATGTTAAAATCAAAAAGTTGGGACCGGAGTAAAAGGCGAATACCCGGCAAATAGGCGAGTATCGGTAAAAAGGCGAATAATCAGGCAAATAGACGAATAAAAATCAAAAATAAATGATAAAATAATATTAGGTTTGTTACATATGATTTGGGATCTTTGTGGGTTTATAGAGACATAAAAACTGAGTCCATTTATGCAATTAAAATTTTTTTCTGGCCAACAGTTTTCGGGAAAATTGAGGCTCAAGTTGAAACTTCGATCGTCTTTTTTTCAATTATGGAACCAAATTTTTTCATGAAACTTATTTCCCTGATGTAACTTTTGATGGCCAACCATAAAATGATCTTATTTTCTTATAAGCAGAACACTTTTTGTTTGTTTTTGTCACACACACAAAAAGGTTTGACTGAAAATTGAAGTGATCTGCTGTACAGAAACAGAGAGTTTTATTTCTCAAAATAAGACATATGTTTGTAAATTAACTGTGACACATATTTTATTGAATTCGTTATATTCTCAACTGATTCATCAAATCAATTGTTGAATGATTTTATTATCTTTCTAAACATGTTTCGATCGATGAATGATAATTCTATTAATTTCCCCTTTGCTCCTCATCTCTTCTTTCTCTCAATGACAAATGTTAAATTGATATGAACGATCTATGTTGTTAGATAAATAATGAAATTAATTTAAACGCACGATCGAATTTCAATTATTCTGACAACTTACCCTTAAATTTGGAAAAACCTTGAGTAAAACAGATCCATCTAAAGGTTCTGTTCTTACATGATAAACCAGATCCTTGGAATAAACTTTGTCATCTGAAAATGTGAATCTTTTCATTAGATTTTATAAATTATTCACAATGTTACTGAGCTCCAAACGTATATCTTACCATCAAGGCGTGAGTTACTTATTAAATATTCAACTTTTCGCGTTGGCTCACCAATTATATAGCGCTAATAATTTCAACGCCATTTTTTTCACTCCATACATGAATTTTTTCAATCCGAGAAAAGATAATGATTTAATTTCTTGGTTTTTTCCAAATAAGTGTGAATTTACTGTACTTTCATATTGTCCTAAATTTTAGAACATTTAAAACGAAATTTGGTTCTAAAACTAACTTTTATAATGATCTCACTTCATTGATGACCGGCATAAGTTAACGTTGGACAATTTGAATGATTAAGAAGGCTCACTAAAAGCTTCACAACCCAATGAGCTTTGAGACAAATTGAAATCAATTTTAAAATACCTCGATTTTGGGTAAGTCATAAGAAATCCTCGTCCGCTCACTTCTCTTCTCATTAGCCACAGCTAGTTTCGGCGTGCGCCGAGTGACTTATTGAAAAAACTTAATATTTAAGGGTTAAATTTAACAATTAACTTTATTATTCACTTAATTGAAAAGGGATAGCAACTCTATAGGCTTAACAAACGGAAGTCTCGTCTTGATTTCAGTTTTCCTGAATTCAATGATCAATGTCAATCCATGTCAATTTCATCAGTTCAATTTCATGTTTACGATGCATTACTGATTCGCAAATGATCTCTGAGTTGCTGTTCAGTTGTGTTGAGTTGCGAAAAAAGTTTTTCATAGTTGCTACATGATCTTAATATAACAAGTTATGCCCCGATCATGACTGATCGCAAATTTATTTTCACTGTGTACATTCTGTAAATTCAATCCACATTTAAAAACGCAAATTCTTATTTAAAAATTTTGTCTGGTGGACAATCGTTGATGAAATTGACTTCAAAATTTGTCATTTGGTTTCTTTTAGTACTGTTGAGGCATCGCTCATTTATCCATATGAATTTAAATATTGACCAAAGTTATCGATAAAAAGCATTATTTTTGGGGTAAAGGCACAAAACAGCCAAAGTCAAAACAGTCCATAACAAAGCTGCTTAAATTATATCAATTCATATTGCAAAAAAGTCCAAAAAAACCTTTCTATGGGTATTGATACAGTCTTTTACTTTTGATTTGCTTTCTTTTAACAAATGAAAAAGTGGTCTACATACACCTATGTCGATGCTCTTGTGTCCTTAAAATTATTGAGTCTATTGATCAAGTCAAACTTATTCAAAATTGAAGCAAAAGTCAGTGGTAAAAAACAAAAGTACTTTTAGATACCCCTAACAAATCTGATCATTTAAGTAGTTTTATTATATTTGATTTAAGCAGCTTTGTATTTGGCTGTTTTGACTTTGGGCGTTTTGGACTTGGCTGTTTTGTGGCCAATTCATTTTTGGTGAGATGACTCGTCACCCAAATAAACTTATACTTGGGCTTATGTTTTAATGGCTTATGTTCTCATGGGCTAATTAAGCAGAATTGTACAAATGACTCTACACGCTAAACTTTAACACACGTTTGGTTACTTGAAAGGTTCTAAACCAAAGTACTTGGATGTAAGCTTTTGTCTTTTTATAAATCAAGCATAAGATCTGGCAACATAGATAATACTATAACCAATTTTTTATTTCAATATACAATAGCACATGATGAAATCTAATGAATGGTCAAAAAATGATGTTTGTACTACCATTCTCGAAACATTGTGGCTCAATTTCTTAGATCTTTGGTCAAAATCAAGAGAACAGTTGATAAATTGTAAATAGCTTTCGAGGTAAGGCTTTACTTTTACGGACAAAGGCGTTAACATTAGAACATATGGAGAGATTTCTTAAAAAACACACTTTATCTAACCAATTAAAAAATCAAGAAAAAAGCGCAAACAATGGTATAAGTAAAATTCATGGTTTTTGACTTAATTCGAGAAATATTTTGCTAGTTCCATTCCTGATTCCTATTCATCTTCGGCTGAACTAATTTTCAGATTAAAATTAAAAGGCATTAAACTGTTGAAAAATCTTCATTCCTCATCATGAAAAAACAATCTTTGCGAGGCTGTACAAGCTTTCAATGTTCGAGAAAGCATATTTACTGTCTTCTTTAGAATCACTTATATCACCATGTTTTTTCTAGTGTTTTCCATCTTTTTATTCATTATGTTCATCCAATTTCGTGACCATCTAAAACAACATTGAAAGGATTAATTTGATTGGAGCAAAGTTTAAAGTTCTCATCATCTGTTCTGATGTTAACGCCTTTGTCCGTAAAAGTAAAGCCTAACCGCTTTCGATAGCTGATGTGGGTCAAAAATTTTTATAGACAAAAAATAAGTTCCATCTCTCTAACTATTACGGACACAGCAAGCATTCAGTTCAACTGAAAATCGAACTGGCGTGTTTAACAGAAACAGGAAAATGTATTTCACAAAATAAAAGCATTTTCTGATTGATCATTAAAAATTACACCAGTAAAATGAGTTTCATGAAAAATATGCTTTCATGATTGAGTAAAACACGATTAAATTTTCAACCTTGTCCTCAAATTTCTCTAAAACTGTCGATCAGAGAGATTTTCGAAATATTGTTGTGTTTTAAAGTGTTTGTTTGCTTAAAGAATTGGCGAAACAGGAATATAGCCGTTATGAAAATTTCAAAATTTTCCGATTGATGTGCTCATAATGTTATGCAGAAATTTTTAGATAATATTTTATGAATATCGTTCTTATTTTATGACAAGTCTATATGTAGAGTCTGGTAAAGATTGCTATATTGTTATGATTACTTGACGTTATTTAATTTTAAGATTAACAGTTTATAAAGTAGCATTATTATATTGTAAATAGGAATTATTTTCTGTTATTTGTTATGTTATTTTTTTAGAATCTTGAAAAATATCCTGTTTAATTTGGAAAGTGACCCTCCAAGAATTATCATGAAAAATGAAAGCTAAATATTTGAATATCAAAGAGTTGAATTTAAATTTTTAAGGCTTTAAATCCTTGACAGTCAATTTAGCAGATTGATGAGGACTTTGACACTGATTTACTGAATGCGAATCCTTTCCAGTGAAAATCAACATCTTTACAAATAATGAATGAAATTGATTGCTCTAACTTATGGGCATAAGCTAATTTGGAAAAATTGAGAGGTTAAATCATTAGGATTTGAATAGATTAAGCTAATCAATAGCCAAACTTGACTACTAAGACTTCAATAAAAAAAGTCTTTTCAATTGAACAATAAATCATTGATTAATAAACTAAAAAATGGTCAACTTGAACTTGATCATTTTTGGTGAGAAAAGGTAAAGTGAAAATACTTTCATTTCGATGATATTTATATACAAGTGTTACAACTGTTGGCAACTTGTTGAATACGTAATCATTGTATTAATCAGGTTTCAAATTAAATCTGGGAACGTAACAAATTACTGATTCATATTACAACACAAACTCAACAAAACTGTAAGTTTCATTGACATTAGACGGTCAGTTTTTTTAGTCAAATCCCTAATAGTATTGGACTTTAAAGAAACTGTTTAACCTGTAAGTTATGTTGATGTCCATTCAATGTTAAAATGGTTAAGGGAGGGAAGAAAAGTTCAGTTGATAATTACGCATGTAATCTATTCTGAATTGAATAAAATTTTAGTTCTAGACTACTTAATGGTCAATGCAAGTAAATTTCAATTCACTATTGAAACAACTGTTAACATGTTCACATGACATAAAGGTTTACGCGCTAAATCTAAAACATCTGTTTTTGGCTTCTTCTGAGCTACTTTTGTCTACCCCTAGTCAACCAACTAGCAGTGTTAAATATTAATTTAAGTGTTTTTTAATTGTTCCAGTTAATTATTTGCCAACACACATCTTTATTTAAGGTTAAATCATCCACTGGGTCAACTATAATTATCGTCATGTTGAAATTATTTGATGTTGATTGGATCCGCAATGAATACAATGGTAAAGCTGAAGTAATAATTGTTTCCATTTTATTTGCTCCCATCTTTTTTACCGGTCTTTTGGGTAACCTGTGGTTAATTGTGACAATTTTACGCAAACAAATACCCGTAACTTCATCAACAATTTACACTCTTTGCCTTGCTCTTGGTGATCTTTGTACAATCTTAGGCCTTATACCAATGCTATTATCAACATATGTAACGGAAACCTTACCAAATGATCATTCGTCTTCCAATACATCTTCACCCAGCTCAACATCATTTATAACACCAACACTTGCCTCTTCAATGTGTATTTTATCGGACACTCTACGAGACATTTCAGTCTCTGTTTCTTCCTTAACGCTGATTGCTGTCTCTCTTGATCGGTACCTTGCCGTTTTATCAGCTGTTGCCTGGATGCAGAAACAAGTTGACCGTAAACATCGTAACCTAGCCCTGGCAACAATCTATTTAATCTGGCTAATATCAATAATGCTAGCCTTGCCAACATCCCTATCATCTCGATTAACCCGAACACAACTGGACTCGGGTTCAACTCTACTCATATGCACACCAGGATTTACCTTTCTTCCCAAGCCTGGACCCCAAATACTGACCGCACTGAAGACAATCATCTTCTTCCTGATTCCAATCTTAATCACCTCGTATTGTTATACCATTGTGGCCCGTAAATTGGTTTACAATGTTAAAAATAAATTAACTTACCGTAAAACATCCAAAGATCGCGCTCTCCGCAAGGCAACCTTTACTATCCGTTTGGCTTTCCTTCTGGTTGGACTATTTGCACTATCATTTCTTCCTCATCATCTAGTTAATTTGTATTTCTACTTTAAACCAATCTCATCTAATGAAGCTCTCTTCTGGCAGACAGCAAGGATAACATCATTCATGTGTATCTTCATCAACTCTGTTCTTAATCCAATAATTATTTGTAGTACATCTTGTCATTTAAAAAAATTAATCAAATCAAAATTTTCCTTCTTAAGAGATATTTAGAATCTCGAAACTTGAAGAAATCAAATTTAACAAAACAAATTGTAAATACTCATCTCAATCCTCGACAAACACAGCTAAACTAGTCAGACAATTGTGAACAAAAATGAAATATCATTCTTTTTATACTTTTATATTCAATTTTACCGAAAGTAAATTTGCCTCTTTTTTGTCATTAAATACAAAACTCTCAAATAAATGTAAAATGTACAAAACAATAACAATTTGCTTAAATCAAGAAAAAATAAGCTATAATAATAAAAACAATCAAATTGAACAACAACAATAACTGTCTATATTCATTAACATACATTTTTACAACTCGCGTATCTCAAAACTCATATTTAATATGATCTTGGCCATTGTTCAATGGTTAAGATAGGAATTGAACAAATCAAGAACAGTAAATTGTAAACTATTACAAACAGTTAGATAATTAAATCATAACTTATTATTAGACTTTGTATTTGTCGGTAACGCAACCAGGTGCCAATTCAATTCCAAGAAATACTCCATCGGTAGTTTGCGATCTGAATCTTTATTTCAAGTTAATCTTGTGTTCATAGCTGAAATTAATGCAATAATATGATGATTCCTGATTCTATCGATAATGAATCAGTTGATGGGCTGAGGGCAAAGTGAATTTAGCGCAATAAAGGACTGCAAAATACACTCCTCAATCATTATTGCACTTTTAGTTGAGATAACAAGACAACTTTGAACGGTTGGGTTTAATATTGAAACACATGATTCGTTAAATTGAACCGTTCATATCGTAATCGATATGCTAAAGCGGCAAGAAAACGACTCAAACTTTTCTATTGTTCATGGAGTCTTGTGTAAATTGGCTCTAATTGCACCTTAGATCAATAGAAACACATCGAATGATACTTTAAGATCACTTGCAGCCAGCAATAATTCCTTACAGCACTTTGGTTACGATATTCGGACTCTAAATGTACCAAGAACAACTTATTTAGCAAAGAAAACTCATTTTAACATATTTCTTGGTAAATAAAACACTTTTCTGGTTAAACCTAAAAGTTGAATGTAAAGAGTATTGCCAAAGGCTCGAACTTTTGAGTAAAGATTTGAAACTTGGTGGGTTTGTAGGACAATTGAAACTAAATCCATTAGTGTTATCGAAAAGATCATCCGATTGATAGTTTAAGAGAAAATCGAGGTCAAAGTTGAAACTTCGATCGCTGTTTACTCAACTATGGAAATAGGTTTTTTTATCAAACTCATTCTGGCGGCATAAATTTTAATGCGTAACCATAAAATGATCTTATATTGTTGAATAAAATTTTGGTTTTCTGTAAAACAGACAAAGTTCGATTTTTACATAAACGTGTCGCATTCGGTGACCGAAAACTTTAGCGAGCTCAAACTCATTATCCGTCAATGAAAAACAATTGCTCACATCATGGGTCCAATAGTTTTTTTCATTCGAAGACAGTTCGCTTAATTTTGGCCTTTGGACTAATAACTTTGGACCTAAATATTTCGAGGATGATATCACCTACAAGTGTCATACTTCGACCCATCATTAGATCTCATCATGAACTATAAGATGATATAACTGAGCACGCAATAAAATCCTAGCTAATCCATTTAATCATGAAAATCATTAGATTTGTGTTTGAGTGTCCATCAACTTTATAAACAAAGTCTCAAATCTGACAACATGAAAAATCAAATGCTGTAACTTTATTCGCAGAATCTTAATTAATTTAATGTTTCGGTATATCATAGTATATGATGAGATCTAATGATGGATCGAAGAATGATACTTGTAGATGATATCATCCTCGAAATATTTAGGTCCAAAGTTATTAGTCCAATGTCCAAAATTAAGCGAACTGTCATCGAAAGGAAAAAACTATTGGACCCATGATGTGAGCAATTGTTTTTCATTGACGGATAATGAGTTTGAGCTCGCTAAAGTTTTCGGTCACCGAATGCGACACGTTTATGTAAAAATCGAACTTTGTCTGTTTTACAGAAAACCAAAATTTTATTCAACAATATAAGATCATTTTATGGTTACGCATTAAAATTTATGCCGCCAGAATGAGTTTGATAAAAAAACCTATTTCCATAGTTGAGTAAACAGCGATCGAAGTTTCAACTTTGACCTCGATTTTCTCTTAAACTATCAATCGGATGATCTTTTCGATAACACTAATGGATTTAGTTTCAATTGTCCTACAAACCCACCAAGTTTCAAATCTTTACTCAAAAGTTCGAGCCTTTGGCAATACTCTTTACATTCAACTTTTAGGTTTAACCAGAAAAGTGTTTTATTTACCAAGAAATATGTTAAAATGAGTTTTCTTTGCTAAATAAGTTGTTCTTGGTACATTTAGAGTCCGAATATCGTAACCAAAGTGCTGTAAGGAATTATTGCTGGCTGCAAGTGATCTTAAAGTATCATTCGATGTGTTTCTATTGATCTAAGGTGCAATTAGAGCCAATTTACACAAGACTCCATGAACAATAGAAAAGTTTGAGTCGTTTTCTTGGCGCTTCAGCAAATGCACTCATTTTTGCGCATTTGAGTGTTCGTTCATCGATTTGACACAGATGATTTGAACAGATCTTCAGTATCATGTCTTCGGTCGGCTGATTATGGTTCAATATTTTCATAAATCGCAATAATAGAGCTTTAACTGCTGATTAATCTTCAAGTTAATATTAAAAATAGTCTGTTTGATCAGTGTTAAATAATAAAGATCAAGAACCGTTTAAGAAGCATCATCTTATTAAGGTTTGTTTACTTTGTCGACTTGCTATGGACTTACAAAGGTTTAATTGTAAAGCAAGATAAATTATTACGATCCCATGACTGAAACTAAATTGAAATGTCTATAATTAAAAGACAGTCAATCCATTTACTCGCAATTTCTAGATAAGTAATGAAATTAACCTTGACTTGGCTGAAATGATCTTAAAGTTTGCTGAAAATCTTGAGATTTCTGGTTAATCTAGGTAAACAGTAAATCAGATTTAACCGACTGACTAAAATCTGTGTAATTGGACTAGTGAATTTAGCTGATCTGATTGATGATTAATCTGGTGAAGTATATGAAGCCAAATCCATGGATGGATCAGCAAAAGATGGACAAAATGTTTACCTTAACCACAACTTTAACGTTTAATGGACTTGATTCAACTGTTTGTTTTAATTGACTGACTAACATGATGGATTAATGAGTTTTATCCATGTGAGACCTTGAATGAATAAAAAAGGTAAGCTTTCAATGTTGAAGTTAATCATCAAAAATATAATACAATGTAAAATATAAGTTGAAAAAAAGGAAATATTCAGTTAGACTAACATAGTTTTGAAATGATAATCCAAAACAAAACACATTTTTGGGTGAAAAAAAAGTTAACTTTTATGGCAATTCATGATACAGATTAACCAAATTCTTGAATCACATTGAATTCAACAAATTATTGAATAACGATTCCTGTCAATGTAAAGCTTTAACCCAAACCAAGTCACTCTTGGAGTTGAGGAAATACAAAGGTACAATAACATTGAATTTTGTCGCAATAAATATTTCAATTTCGCATTATTTTCAACCGATCACGTTAACAATCAAACGACTAATCTGGCCAGAAAGCATGATGGTTAAGCTATCCATTAGCTGATTAAATGGTGAAATCATGCGATTAAAATTTGTAAATTGTTGGAATGTAAACATGAAAACAAATATTTATAAAGTCCACATTACCATTTTTTATTCAAACTTTGGGTTAACTCACGTTTCCCAATCGATGTGATTTATATTAAATAACCAGAAACTGACCTTTTTAGTCTGTGGTTTGTATTTATTTGCATTTATTGACCAAATCAATTATAAAACTAGTTTACTGTAACAGCTAGAGGGATTGAGGGACACACACATGGATAACATGTGGATGAATTATGAAAACCTAAAAAACAAATTTTCTTGAAATTTTCTTTTCATTTCTTGAATATAAATTGTTTCCATTCAATGTTTTAATTGTAACAAGATGATGGGAGTAAGCATTCACAAAACTGGTTAATGCTGCATACAAGTTACGATTTTTACTCTGGTTTTTCATCCAGCGATTCAAATTGGATTAGCTTTCAACTGTCGCTTACATCGTTATCGTCATCATTCTGAACATCATTAAGAACAGTAATCAGTTAATGATATTATTCAGATAGGATATAAGAGGCAAGGAGAAGGAGTTATTTGTTTATTTATATTGGACACATGTGTACATGGCTAAGATTATTGAGCTCGTTGACTGTTTGCTTGTGAAAGAAGTGAGATTTGGCCTGATCCACGATTTAAATCATTTTATAATGGCTGTTCAACTTGGTGATTATCCCATTTGTGTTTGATCATTTATGATGCTAATGACTGACGGTCAGCCGTATTCATCTTTGTTAGCCTTTTGTTTCATTATTAGCTTTTACATTACGTCCAATGATAATCCAAGTCACATTTTAATGGACCATTTTAATCACATTATAATCATATTAATAACGGCACAGTCAACATAAATAAACATAATGAACCAGTCAATCAGTGGAGCTACACTGATCATCAGTATAAGATGCTTTACTGGGAGTTAAATGGTCATTATTGTCTATTCAATGCATTTCAATGGATTAACCACTTTCATAGTAAATCGTTTATATGGTGTTAAGATTAACCAGTAAAGAGTGGATTGGAATCGATAAAGCTCATTCATCTAATTGCCCAACTCTAACAATTAATCTGCTTTGAATGTGTAAATTAATTTGTTAACCCTAACTAACCACAACTCACATGTTAAACTTAACCCCGTGTAATCTTGAGCCACTAAAGACTATTAATCTTTACCCTATTCAGTTCATTCAATAGTTTAATGAACTGATCAAGTCAGCTAATTGGACAATCTTAATTAACAAAATAATTGACTTAACTAACAATAATTAAAAACGATCAAGGAGTTAACCCGTTTTTGCAACTCCAGTTGCAGTTGGAATAACAATGTTTATTATTCATTTTGGGTTCATTTTGATGATTTATTAATACTGTGATTTTACTCGAACAACTGTAGAAACTAAATTAAATTTTAGATTGTATCAAAATCAAATATTAATTCAAGTAAATACATCTATTAATAACTGGATAAACACACAAAATTGGTTTAATTCACTTTTATTAACAATGTTAAGCCTACACAAAACAAACTGAACCAGATTTTTTCTGAATCTGGTTTCATTTCAAATGTTTGCCATTCATATCAAATAAGTTAAATGATTTAAGTTGAAAATAGTGAAAAGAGTTAAAAAGCATTAAAGCTTCCGTTTATTGGGTTTACATCATCAGTTAAAACGGGGGTCGCCTCACAGAGTCAATGTTATTGCCGTTGATGATTAGGTGATTATGTTGGTGACTATGATGATAATTATGGTTATGGTTATGATGATGAAAAAAAAGTTAATTCCTTGAAATATAACCATAAATTCATCGGTCTTCCCACTGAAAGGTAATTGAAATCTGATGAGGAAAAAATTAACATGTAAAAAAGTGTAAATGTAACAACATTCAACAAGTGAAAGTATCAAAAAAGTTAAATTCAATCCTCTTTTTGGGTGTTTTTTCACCGTTATCATCATCTTTGGATCTTTGACTTTGTGCATGATGTAAGAGCAAGAAATACCAACAATTGTTGCTGATGATGACCAAATGTTAATGTACATGTTATCCCATAATTCAGAGTGTAACAGCTATTATTGGCTTTTTTGCCCATCGATTAATATTTTTAAGGATTTAGTCAGTTACACAAGAAAGATGAATGAATGAAGAGGGAAAAGATGAAAAGATGAAGAGGAAGATGAAGAAAAAAAGATGTCAATATTAATGGAGTGTATTACATGGTTGATATAAAGTCCTCATTGTCATCATTAGCGTCGTCAAATGGTTAAGACGACCAAAAAAATACATATTGATATGATTGACCATGAAGTCCATTGAACCCATTACATTAACCATTGACGATTAACAAGTCAATTTATAAATCTTATTCTTATTCATTGGTTTCCCTTGGATACAAATTGTTTCAAAGCAACTCTTTTCATGAAAATAACAATTTCATATTGCTATTCATCTTTTCATTCAACCAAATCTCACTTTTTGAGATTATAAATAAATCCTTCAATTGTTACATTTCATTTCCTTAGTTGTTAATACCAAATCATTCAGTTAACATTGTATAACTTTTTAAATTCATTGTTAGTTCACTTGTTTGTTTTTATTCTTAGTAATATGATAACTTTAGCATGTTTTGATAATTCAGTGAAGTAATTGGGTTCTGATTCGTAAACAAGTTACAAAATTATTGGAATTTATAAGATTTATAAGATTTTTATTCTAGGGAATTATGTTTGGTCCATTCGATATGGAAATAATTGTGCCACTCTAATACCGATAATCCATGTATTCAATGAATCTGGGTCAATCATTTGAAATATTATTCGTTGAAATTTAAAATTATTTTACTCTTTTGTTAAGATATCAATCTGTATAATTGTTTACTGAATTGATTTACTCTCTTAATGCCAGTTTGGTTGTTATCACGACTATTGAGCCTCAATATATTGCTTTAAATATATACTGGATGTGATGATTTTATAAGGAAGAAATGCGTGTAAATTTTTTATGTAAATTAAGTTCCAGATCAGCTGATTATTGCTCTTCATGTTAATGATTTCAACTTTTTTCCTAGTGAAATCTTTAAATAGAGATACTTTCCTTTAATCAAATCTTTATCGATCTGTTTGTTTGCCTTATAATAAGCTCATTGAATAAGAAACTTAATTCAACTCGCGCAAATCTGACGTAATCAGAGTTGGGATTTCTCATTGAATAAAGTTAAATTTGATTCATAACCATGTAATATTGACCATTACATAAAAGTATGTTAACCTTCAATTTCAACAAGGATTAATAATTATAACGACCTATTACAACTTATATTACAGTTGAAACCATATGATTGGAGTTGAAAAGCCTAAGGTTAATGATTTAATCATTAATAATTATTACTAAACCTTTAAATCAGGCTTCACTGTAAATGGTGGAATAAAAGAAATTTTGGATTTAAAAAACCGAAGCAAACATAACTAAAGCGGAAGGCACGTTTAAGATTTGAAATCAATTTGTTAATTTATATTATCATCGTTTTACACAAAAAGGAAATGAAGATGATAAATTAGAACAGGGAAGATCATTAATTGTCAAGTCCGTTGTCGTCATCATCGCCAGATCCACTTTCCCCATCATCAGTTTCAAAAGTATCGTTTGGAATATCGTACAAAAGTAAAGCTGGCTTGTTTGGATCTTTAAGGATAAGGTATTTTCCTTCGGGTAGCTTCATACATGTATCGATAATATAACGCAAGACACCCCAAGCATTATCCATGTTTAAGTTGATTTGGTCTGCGAATTCTTTTGGCTTGAACTGTTGAGTACCAAGGATTGAATGTTTAGTACTATCACGAGCGTGGACTCGAGAAACGTAACTATAAAGGAAATAAATTTTCAAATCAGTAAAAATTTAAAAGCAGAGAATAGATAAAACCTTAGACGAAATTACTACATACCCGAATTTAAGATAGTCAGAGCCAGCAAGAAGAGCCTGAACAGTCCATTTTCCAAGTTTACATGAATTATTTTTCAATTCATTGGCTAAAACAGCTCCTCTTTGAACATCCAATTTTTGACGCCAATCGATTCCACCTGAAAATCTTGAATCCCACTCATTTAGAGCTTTAATGTTCATGAATTGAATTTCATTTTTATTAGATCCATAAACAGCGTCATGTTCACATCGACATATAAGTTCAATACCATCGCCAAGATCAAATTTACGATAACGATAACCAACAGAGGCTACTTGTTCAATTTCTTCATCTTCTGATATAAACGGATTTTTCTCAGGGAATTCATAACGTTCTTCTCCTTGTTTAAGAACTTGCTGAGAAAAGTTATGATTGATGAAAGTAGCCTCTAGAGCAAGATTTTTAGGCCAATTGATACTGTTTTTGTTATCTTCGTCATAATACGGTGGATCAGCAGCTGTTTCGTTAACAGTAAGCAGATCAAGATCGGGGTCATCTCTTTTATCAAAAAATAATTTATCTCCAACTTTTTGAACAAGTAAATCCCATGAAATGACAGACCGAGTGGCACACATTAATGTTGCAACAATGGCATCAGTGGCATAAATATTTCCTTCGGTTTTAGATAATTGACGGATGATTGGATCATCAGTTGTCGTAACTTTGTGGAAGATTCTGTTTACTCTAATTAATCTTTTTTCATTTTTACAGGTTACTCGATCGTACGTCTTATCATAGAAGTCCATTGCTCCGCACATTTTTATATCTTTAGGTTCGATAACCGCAGGTAAAGATAGTTTTCCTAATCTAGGAAAGTCCATTTCTTCAATTATCTTCCATGTAGATTTAATAGCAACAGAAGCTTCCCTTTTCTTCATAGCAGCAGCACCCTTTTGATCGTATCTACCCTTCATACCAGCATTCTTTGTAGGCCATTTATTACCCCTAGTTTGACCACCCATACCTCGACCAGTGCCTCTAAGACCTTTAGATAATACTTGCATTCCACCAGGTCCAGCTTTACCTCCTCGAGGTCGAACTCTTTGACCAATCTTAAGTTTACCTCTTTGAACTTTAGTAGTTCCTCTGCCGGCATCAACCAACTGGAATGAGCTTTCATCATCCTCTTGAATGTAAGCATATTGAGCTCCGATTCCGAATTGTGAAGCATATTTACTAGCCATACGTTTATCAGCATAAGTTTGATTAGTCCAATCAGCAATCTAAGGTGAGAAAACATTCAAGATTTAAACAATAAAGACATTTAAACAAAAATTATAATTGAACATACCTTTCCAAGTCTATCTGATTTAGAGAAGGGCTGGTAAGGCATATCTTTGTAAGCTTCAGCTATTGAACTAGGTCCCCATCCTTTTGGATTATCCTGAATCTCAGGGGCAATGAATGGCTTCTTATCATCCATAGTTATAAGAAGCTAGGGTTTACAAATTTAAAAATAAAGATGTACTACAATAATTAAAAATATTAGATAAACAGCCAATTAATAAACAAATCACTTAAGAAGCGGCTTCTAAATGATCCACGTTTTAATGCTGATGAGCATATGTGCTGTCTTCAAATCATAGATGTCACCAGTTTGGCTACCAGAGATGAACCAAACAATTTTGCTAAACAATAATCAAATCTACAATTAAATCGTCTCAATTGAATGCAATTTTATGTTTAAAAATGATCTGAAGGAAGCTAACAATAAGTTCAATAAGATTAAATTTACATGAAGGGCCAAGAAGACAGTTTTAAGGAAATTGAACTAAAATCAATGATTAAACTGTCAAGGTTAACCTTACTAACCCCCAAGACTCTTTAATAGATGCAAGTTATAAATTGATTGAAAAGTCTAGCTAATGAATGTAAATTCAGTTGATTAGAATCAATGTGAACAATTAAAGGCAAGATTTTACCTTTATTTGAATAACGCGCTTTATCTGATGACAAAACAAACGATGGACAATTTTAGGTACTCAAGATTACTGCATCACAGACTTTTCAGTTTCAGCGCATGTCTCGTTATGCTAGGACTTTTTTGCTAAAATACAACCTAACTGGGTACAACATAACTGGATGTAGTACTGTATTTATAATATATATTGTGAATTTAAATTAACCTTCAAAGGCCAAAATGTCTTCTGGTGGTGGTGTAACAACAACTTCAAATTCATCACATTCAACTACATCCAGCAAGTTATCTACAACCGAGAGAGTGATCAAAAGTGTACCTCTACCACCACCAAATAAGTTAACCATTGGAGAAGTCTATGATTCAAAGACTAATAAACCTCGTCCAGAAGTGTTGAAAAATCATTTCATTCTAGAGGGAAGAATAGATGAAAATTGTGCTCTAAGGATAATCAATGAGGGTGCCGCACTATTACGAGCTGAGGATACCATGATTAACATTGAAGCACCGGCAACCGTATGTGGTGATATACATGGTCAATTTTACGATTTAATGAAATTATTTGAAGTTGGAGGTTCCCCTTCAACCACGAAGTATTTATTTCTTGGTGATTATGTTGATAGAGGATATTTCAGTATTGAATGTGTTCTCTATTTATGGGCATTGAAAATTAATTACCCAAACACACTATTTTTATTGAGAGGTAACCATGAATGTCGCCATTTAACAGAATATTTTACCTTTAAAACTGAATGTGAGTAAAAATTTAATTCCTTTTCCCACCTTCAACCTTCTCCTTCTCCCCAAACACTCGCACCATCCCTCTCCCTTTACCACTACCTTTAAAAATCAAACTTAAATACATTAAACTATAAGCCCAATTGTTGAAAAAAAGCGACAGAAAATAATGAAAAGACTGAAATGTTGAGTATCAGGTTACCATGAATCAAGAAGAATACATGTTAAAAGAAAAAGAAAAAAAGAAAGGGGAAATAAACCATCATCATTCTCTTCTTCATCATCATCATTCTCATCATTCTCATCATCATCATCGTCATCATTATCATTTTCATCATCACCATCATCATCATCGTAAAGATTGAATAGTCATTGAGAAGGAAACAGAACTGAAACTGCACAGACAGATGAATAGACTTATATTGAAGACAGAGATTAGCAAAAAATAACTAAAGCGAGGTTAGAATTCAGTAGTTGAACTGAATGAAAAGATACTCAGGTAAAGACGATGAAAAGATGATACTGAGAAGACGAAGAAGGAAGATGAAGGTAATCTTATTTTTTATACTCTTATAGAAACATATATCTAAAAAATATACTCACTCACAACTGCATTTATTTATTCAACGAAAAATCATTAATATATATTTAGGGTTATAAAATAATCAGTAAAAAATATATTTATTTTCACCATCATCATCATGATGATAATAATAATTATACATTTAATTGTAAACCATTTAATTAATTTAGATAAACCTATGATTTTTATTCCCTTTCAATCAGGTTAACATTGAATAAATACACCTTTACGAGACTCACATCAATCAATAACAAGACAAAAATTTATTTCTTATTACACTCTCTCCCTCTTTTTATTGCAATCAATTTAATTTAAAATTAATGGTATATTAATTTTAAATATTGAACAGTTCAATTAGCATTTGATATTTTGCTTTACCAAATTATAATCATCATCAAATGTCTTTCATCCCTTTGCTTCCATTAAACCTTATTTTTTATTTCCACTGTTTTCATTTCCTTTTGTGTACAATTTTTTATTAATTATTTCAATTAACTAATAATATTTTTTTCTTCCTTCTTCCAACAGGCAAAATAAAATACTCTGAAAGAGTGTACGACGCTTGCATGAACGCATTTGATTGCCTTCCATTGGCTGCTCTTATGAATGGTCAATTTTTATGTGTTCACGGAGGTAAATTGACTCTCACTTGCCCTAACGATCAAAGTTAATTGCTGTATTTACAGTTATCACTGTAGCTTTAAAGCAGGCCTAACCAGTTAATCCGGTGGTTAAGTCTGTCTGATTTCCTTCAAATGTTGATCAAACATCTTTAAGATAATAATTGAATCCAAGCTGAAATCCTGAAACTTTAAGTAATCACAGTGGAACCATTAAAAATGATTTTAGGCTAATAGATTTATGTGTTGAAACAATAACCAAAGCTCAACAATATCCATCAACAACAAGCTATCATCATGGATCAACTCTAGTTAAACAAGAAAAAAAACCTCACGGATTGACAAACAAAAAAGGATTGACAAGACTTATTTGACGCTTCAGATTGACAGACTTTACGACTTTTCATCTCAATTGTCCATTTTGTTGAAGCCAGTAGATTAAACTTTGTCCAATCTCAAATGATATTAGCAAGGAATCCTCTTCTCCAGCAGTTGCACTCTTTAAGATTGTGAAAAATTGATGAACCAGTATTAATATTTATAAATCAAAATTTGTTTTACATTTAAAGATTAAGGATTATTCCAGAGCAAGATTTATAATTGAGTGAATTACCTGAAAAAGCAGACAATGTTATAAAATTTCAATTTAACATGAATTATAACCCAAAAGCCAGAGTTAAAATTGAAGATGGAATCAAGAAGTCTGTTTAATCTTTTGCTCATTAAAGTGCCTGGACAAGTTTAATCTCCAACAAATTAGCAATAATAATGATGTTAATAAAGTTGAATCGTTTGATGAAAAAAGCAGTCAACTCTTTGTCTACCGATTCAATGACTAATCAGTCGAGAATTAGAGTTTTTATAGTTTCGTTATTGCAGTTTCTCTGATTGTCACTTTTCGCTTTCTAATCTGATTGATGTTATTAATTAATCAACTTAACTAATTGCTTTAAACTAACATTTTACTTCTGTTTCTTTGTTTTTCCCATTCATCTAGGTTTATCACCTGAAATCCATAGTCTCGATGATATCAAGAGGTTAGACCGTTTTAAAGAGCCACCCGCTTTTGGGCCAATGTGTGATCTCTTATGGTTGGTTGAATTTATCTCATGGATCCAGTTTGTTCGTTATTGAACATTTGATTAATCATTCTCATTGTGTCTACAGGTCTGACCCGTTAGAGGATTTTGGTAACGAGAAAAGTGGTGTTGAGCATTTTACTCATAATTCTGTTAGAGGTTGCTCGTACTTCTATTCGTACGGTGCATGTTGTGACTTTCTTCAGCAAAATAATTTATTAAGCATCATTAGAGCCCATGAAGCCCAGGATGCAGGGTGAGTCTCATTTCATTACGGACACAAAACACACTCAAGTTGAATGTGCCTTTCAAAACTGGTACATTGAAAATTATAACTCAACCTCTCAAAGACTAAAATAGTCTCTGTTTACTCATTTAGCAATTGCTAAGTAGCGCAATTAAAGTCTTTAAATTTGCATCATTTGCTCAGCCCAATCAATCGATTGTTTGCTCAAATGATATTACAGTTGCTAAATTGTAATCAATGAAATTTTAACCACTTTAATGGACAATTGACAGCTTTTCAATTACCTTGCAAATCTCTTGATTGTAATTACATTTCCATGATTTGCTTGTTAATTAAAAGACCCATTTACCAGTTTAATCTAATTACAAGGATTGATTCGTATTTAAATTTTGATTGTTGCTGGATAATTTGATTATTGAATATTAATTTCCATCTACTTTTATATCAATATCATTTCATTTGCTCTTTACATTTAGTATTTTTGTAAGTACATTAAAAATGAAAATGAACTTTCTTGATTCTTTATGATAAAGATAATAATATCTAATGTTTACGAATAAAGTTATCATAACAATGATGATGATGATAATGGCAATAATATTAATAATATTAGTGATGAATGGTTCAATAGAAAAGAAGAAGAAGAAAGATGATATTTGACTGTGAAAATCTCTTTTTTTCATATTCGGGTTAAATATTATTATTATTTTTCTTGATAATCATCATATTCATCCAAATTCATAGCCATGAAAACTCACAGTCAAAACCCTTAAGGGATGTTTTCCTCCATCAGCATCCTTATCATTTTTGATCTTCATTATCTTGATTATCATCATTATCATCTGTATGAGGTGAAGATGAAAAAGAAGAAGAGAAAAAAATGATGAAAAGAAACACTAAAACACATCTTCATCACCTCCTTCTGAGTTTTCATTCTCACTCATTTTTCATCATGATCATCATTTTCCTTTTCATTCTCATCCTTCTTCTTGCTAACCTTTTATCCTTCTTTGGATTACTCTTAAGATGTAATGGCTGTTTGAAGGATTTTGGCAACAAGAATAAACCATGAGAAGAACTTAACTCGGATGATGAAGATGAGGAAGAAGAAGAAGAAGAAGAAGAAGAAGATTCTGTATCTAACTGTTTATAAGATTCACGTAAAAAAAGATGTTGTTACAACCACTGTTGTTGATTATGATGATGAAGATGATAAAAAAATGAAACTCTATGGTGAGGTGAAGCAACAACGAGAAAGGAGCGAAAAAAAAACTTATTTTTTTGGTGAATCGATAAAATGGTCTTGAAGGTGTACTTGAAGGCTCATTGAATAAACTGGTTACTACAAGGAGAAGAGAGCAGGATGATGATGAAGATGATAAAAAAAGATAGATGAAGAAGAGAGGGAGTCACATATTCTGTTTTTACTGTTGATATTGATGTTGTTATTTTTATTGTTATTGTTATTGTTATCGTTTTTATCATTTCATTTTGAAAGCGCAGTCTCATGAAATGAACATTGAGCAAAAAGGATAAGCTCGTTAACCTTATGAAAGATGATTTTGGGTAACAATTTATTACCTGAATAATACTTGTAACTCTTATTTTCATCTTTCCTTTTCTACCTTCATCTTCAACTGATCCGCAACTTTCACCTTTTCCTCCCTACCTGTGATAATTTAATATCAAGATGAACCTTCAAAATGAGAAACCCAAAAAAAACTGGTTCACTTGACCCATTCAAATATTACATTTGACATGATAATTTCTGTTCATTTATTAATCATTTTACTCATGATGATGAACCTGGAAATGTTGCTTCATTGTTGCTGTTGATGTAAAAATGATAAATCCTTTTCTTTTACCTTTACATTTTTAACTTATCTTTTGTTGCTATTTTACATTGATTTTTATTTACTCTTAAGGATGAAAATTTTTCACTTTGTTCATTTCAAATCAATTTTATCATGTTGATGTTCAACTCTATTTTACTGTTTTTAGCTTACGACATTTTACTATTTAGATTTTTCATGTTACTTTGGTTGTAGGTTTTTTTTCTCGTTGTTGTTGATTTATTTTGAGTCTATTTTTTCACCATCATCATCTCATGTTTCGTGCATGTTAATATATATTACAATATTTATCTTTTGATGTTGGTCAAATAATGGCTCTTGTTCATTCTCATTCATCATCTTTCCTGTTGAATTTTATTTTTCAGGGTAAAACTTTTCTCTGTCCTTCTGTTCAATCTTTTTTCTTCTTCTGTATTTCCAGGCTAACATTTCTCATCCTTTTACTTTTTCAATTTCCTTTTCAAGATTTTGCTTTGAATGCAAAATTAACTCTCTCTCTCTCTCACCAATTTGCTATCCTTGTTTACAAAGCATCATGATGATCATCACAACCATCCTGATCATCATGCAAACTCAATTAATTTGAGAATGTGAAATTTTACTCTAACAACCTCATATAGGTAAAAGCTCATCAGGTCAAGCTGACAATAACAGACAGTAGTGAACATTAGTTTAACCAAGCAAATAAGGATTAACTTAAGATACTCACATTCAACCAGATTCATCAACATTTAAAATGCAAACTTTAAATTGAAACTCATCATTAACGACCTCTTAGTCCAGTTCTTACCTAATGTCACAATAATTGTGTAAAATAATCCGACTAATGAATTAAACTTTCCAATCAAATCCATATTTTTGACCCAAAAAAACATTCATTCAAAGTGAAAGCTCAGCCAAATCAGACTTATAAATAGTTTACAATGCTTGTTGCTTTGTTTACCAGATTTACCTTTTTAATGGCTCAATAATTATGTAAAACCCAAGTAACATGTTAGACTCAAGTCGGTTTCATATTAACCCAGAAAAGCGGCTTCAATCAAATGACAACATAAATATTTATTGAGACAAAATAAATTCATATAATGATAATGATAGCAATATAGTTTCAACTGTTATCAATTTGTTGTCACAATTATAGTGCAAAATAATGATTGGATTGAAATGAGAGATTAGTTAACAATAATCTTGTAATTATTTTGAATATCATGATGACCACAACTGTGAATACAAAGGATTCGGAAGCGCGTTTACATTTTGATTTTGTCCAAAAATCGAAACAAGGCAACAAAATTAATGTAATATTATTACAAGTTAATGTTAATGATTATCCATTGTATGGAAAGTTGTTATTGTTATTTGTTTTGTTATCATAATAATATAGTGAGTGATGGTGAGAATGATAATCAGTTTAAGTTGAATTGAACTTTCATCAGAATCTTGGTTGCATCCATCAAGTTAAATGTCATTCCCTATGCTATCCTCATGAGTAGGGACGTCAAAATCGGCGGTTAGATTTAGTTGTTTTCGGGGCCGAAATCGGCGGATAAAATGTACTTATTTCGGCAGTTTTCGGCGGTTAAAATTTTTATTATTTTCAACATAAGATTTATGAAAATTACATTTTTAACGATTGAATTGAATTGTATTATGCATTGTAATCATTTCTTCACCCATATTAGTTCGCAAATCACTAAGAATCTTACGATACAGAGAGAAACTTCTTTCAACATCAACTGAAGTCAAAGGTGCAAATTTTATTTTTCTTTTCATTTCAAATGGTAAACTGTCTGAGGTAAACTTGATCAAATCTGGATTTTTGCTCAATGAACTTTCAATTTTTTTCAAAGCTGATCCATATAATTTTGCCTTTGCTTCATTGACTATTTGAAGCTGTTCCAGCATGGTAAGATTGTGTGACTCAAGTTTTTTTATTGATACATTTAAAAATCGAAAATTTTCAAATTCTAATAATTGAGTTTCTAATAATGGGTTGGTTAACAATTTTTTGGTATTTTTAACAATTTTTGATTCTGAATTTAGATTCAAGATTATTTGTTTAATATCATCGAAATGATTTGTATAAAACTCAGTAGCTTTAAGAAATGTTCCCCATCTAGTTTTAATAACATCAATTGGCAATGAATTGCATTTTTCTCTGATTGATTTTCGGATATCAGATGAATAATTAATAATTCTTTTTGTGTTAGCAACTAATTCGTTGACAAGGTCAAAATCGTCTCTTATTTGTTCACAAACTCGGTGTAGAGAATGAGCTAAACATGATATGTGATTTAGATTTGGAAAAGTAAGTTTCAATGATTTGCAAGTTAAAATCATGTAAGGTGCTTGATCTGAAACGATTAAAAGTACTCGATCAAATTGAACTTGATCAGGCCAAAGTTTAGAACAAGCACGATGAAATGATTGCGCAACATTGCTTGAATTGGGAGCTTTATCTAAAAATTCCTGGTAAATTAATCTTGATTTAAATGGCTCACCATCTAATTTACCGACAAGTATATTAAGAACATTTCTTTTCATTCTGTCAGTTGTTTCGTCAATGATAAAAGCTACTGAGTTTTGTCCAATCTCATTACGAACGTTTTCGATACAATTATCATATAAATGTTTCAAATACTTAGTTTTGATAGTATTTTTACATGGCAAATTAATTTTTGTCCACTTCTCCAAAAAATTACGGAAGGTTGAGTCAGTTAATTTATCCATTGGAATATTGCACTCAATCATCATCTTCAAAAGTTCACAAAGAAAATTGTCAGTTTCACTATTATTAGCTCTTAAAAAAGTGTCGATAGTTGAAATTGGAACTTTATCCTTGTTATTTTGATGACCTTTGGAATTAAGATGTTCATCCAATGATAATTTAACATGATTTGGTCTAATTTTAACTTCCTTTGAACATTTGAGACAGATAACTTTTTGGTCAGTAACCTTTTTGTAACAATTATAAATTTGACTTATCAGATGAGAAGCTAAAATATCACTTTTTGAACCAGTTTTAGGCATTTTTGAAAACAAATTAATCAATCTTACATTGAAAGCAAATGAAAATTGAATGCATAAAACAAAGCAAATGTAAAATGAGAGAGCTTTAATCTAGACGCAAAGTCTAGACAGTTTTACCCTTGCAAA